GCCCATTGTTGCAGCCACTGTGTCAGTCCATCTCATTGAGGGTCTTCCTCTTTTTCACTGACCCTCTACTTTACCAAGTCCTTCTCCAGGGACTGATCCCTCCTGAGAACATGTCCAAAGAATGAGAGACATAGTCTCACCATCCTTGCTTCTAAGGAGCATTCTGGTTCTATTATAAGTCCTCAGAGAATAGGTGATATTTATTCTTTCAATAAATACCTTGTGGTTTAGTGATGGTGATACAATGATGAGCAGAAGAGAGATAGTTCCTTCCCTCATGGAACTTACATTTCATACCTTTTATGGTTGTTCTTTTCCTTTGTGATCTTAGGTTTAGGGTCCGAGAAAAACCTTTGCCATCGAGTCAATGCCGACTCATAGCAAGGACAGAGTAGAACTGCCCCATAGGGTTTCCAAAGCTGTAGATCTTTACAGAAGCAGACTCCCACATCTTTCTCCTGTGGAGCAGCTGGTGGGTTCAAACCACCAAGCTTTTGGTTAGCAGCCAAGTGCTTTAACCACCATGCCACCAGGGCTCCTTTTAGGGTCTGAGTGTCTCTAAAAGAAATGTCATATTTCCCTTGATTCTAAAGGTGATCAAGGATTCTGATGTTCTAAAACTGAAGTATCCCATTTCCTGACTGTAACCCATCTTGTTCCCTTTCTCCGATTATCCCAACCTTCCTTCTTGTTGAGATCTCATGATCTTTCTACTTTGTTCTTCTACTGTATTAGTTATTTCTTGACCTCTCTCCCTATCCTGTATGGGCCCGTGCTTGACCTTTTGGACTACTCTTTTGACCAGCCCTTAGATTGCCTGTTCCCTGTCCTGTCACATCCAAGTAGCCACACCTTGATGCAGAATCAGTGCTACAGTCCACACTGTTTGCTTGTTCATCTGGGTGCTGAGTGCTGTTGGAGAAAATCAATCATCTTCTCTCCTTAATTTTCAACCTTTCTTCTTGAGAAGGACTTTTTCCTCTAGCATAGAACGTGTTCCCATTTCTTCCATCGAAACATGTTCTGGTTTCTTCCATCGTAACAAAACCCATACCCTGAGCTTGAGGCCCCTCTTTTGACTGTCATCGTATAAAAACATTAAGTCAGAATCGATAGAACTGTGTGCCATAGGGTTTTCAGTGGCTGATTTTTTGGAAGTAGATTGCCGGGAATTTCTTTGGAGGTACCTCTGGGTAGACTCGAACCTCCAGCCTTTTGGTTAGCAGTCAAACATGTTAACACTTGCACCACCCAGGGGATACAAAACCAGTTGCTGTCGAGTTGATTCAGACTTTAAATCCGAGTTGTGCCACTTTCTATCTATGTGACTTTTGGCAAATTACATGTTAGTACAGCCTTGAAAACCCTATGGAGCAGTTCTGCTCTGCACACATGGGGTCAGGTTTCCATGAGCTGGAATTGACTTGATGGCAACTAACAACAACAGCAGTGCTATGAATACTCACAACACTGTGAAACAAGTACTATTTTTGTTCTCGTTTCACAGGTAAATTCTAACATAGAGAAGATAAGTAACTTGCCCAAGTTTATTCAGTAGGCTTCAGATTTTTCATCGGTAAAATGGGAGTAATAGTATTTACATCTTATGTAAACATAATAATTACCTGGGGATACATAAGAATCACCTAGGGATCTTGTTTAAATGTAGATTCTGATTCAGTATATCTGGGGTGGAAATGCAAATCCTCATCAGCGGGTCAAACCAGAATGAACCAGTTTGAAGTCCTACATGAGGCTTTATCTTTTTTCTTAGGTTCTCCTTCAGCAGTTACAGCAGATGGAAGCTGAGCAGAATACTTTAAGAAATACTCTAGAAACAGAAAGACAGGATTCTAAGATTCTGATGGAAAAGATGGAACTTGAAGTGGCAGAGAGAAAATTATCCTTCCATAACCTGCAGGAAGAAATGAATCATCTTTTGGAACAGCTTGAGCAAGCAGACCAAGCCCAGGCTGAACTGGAATCACAGTACAGATCCTTGGAGCAGAAGCACAAAGCAGAAATGGAAGAGAAGACTTTGCACATTTTGAGTCTTCAGAAGACTGAACAAGAGCTACAGTCTTCCTGTGATACTCTGAAGGATCAAAATTCAAAGCTCCTCCAAGAGAAGAGGGAACAGTCAGTCCAGTCAGCCCAGGCAATTCAGCAGCTGGAAGGTCAGTATCTGCTTGCCTTTGAAACCTGCATCTCTAGCACCTGAGTGGCTCCTACTTCCAATTTTCAGGGATCTGTTAATGACATCATTTTCTCAAACCAACTGAATCAAAAGAAATATTAAGAAAAGCATCTTCTCATGCCCTTTGTTGCATTTTTTCCTGCCTCTGACTGAAGTTATAATCTGGCTTGCTGTTATAATAATTATTACAGTACTAAAGACTGTTGATAGTGATGTGCTAGATACTCAATAGAATGCTGCGTGAAACTTGACTCTGGCATGGAGGGTTCAGTGACAGGAATGAGTAGAATTTGAATTAGCTTGTGGAAAGCCCCAGCCAGATCTGGGTGCTTAGGTTGGGAGACCTGAATTGCATGGAGTTATCTTTAGATCTAAAGATGGATCTGAATGCTTTTTGTATAGGTTAGAATTTCTTTTTAAAGAAAACTTAATTCCTTAAAAAGAAAAGAAACCTTGTTTTTTAAAGTGTGTTACCATAAAAGCAATACATGCCTCTAAAAAATTAAACATTTTAGAAGTTTATAAATTAAAAAGTGAAGTTCCCTCAACGCCACTACCCCATCTTACCACTCTTCTTCATCAAATGAGAACCTCTGTTAATAGATTGGTATATATCTAAAGGAAGGACTTTTCAAAGGGTTACTAAGTTTAAGATTTGTATTGAAGAACTGAGCATTAACCCGAAAGCCTGGAAGGGCATTACATGGGAGCAGTGTGTTACATGAGTACACTGTGCTCTTAACAGCTGGACCATGTTGTTTTTCAAAACCATGCTTTACAATCTTGGAGAGACCCATAAAACCTGAGTGGAGAGGGAGGAAAATAAAACAAAAATGCCAAAGCCATTTTCAGGGGGGAAAGGAAAAACAACTTTTTTCAAAATGCCTTGGCCTATTTTATTGTACTTTTGAAGGAAGTGTGTTCCTGAGGTGCCCTTTTGTCTGTGAATGGTTTCTTAAGGTGCCCTTTAGTCCTTGGGAGCATTTAAACAGTTGAATTAAAAATGTTGCCATTGGCATTATAATTTTAAGTAAGGTAATTGAACTGGAGTAAACAATGGCAGATATATCCCTAGAAGATAATAACTCACTAAGTTTCAAATGAGAGACAGAGATCGTTTCACTTTATTTTTTTGCTTTTCCTTAGATCAGCTCCATGAAAAATCCAAAGAAATTAGCCAATTTCTAACTAAATCAACCTTGCAAAAACATGAAACAGCATCTCAGACTTCTTTCCCAGATGTTTCTCATGAGGGTGTACAGGTAATCCAACGTCAGCTTCTTATGAATCTGGTATGTTTGTCTTTGCTCTATCTATACTTGGATTTTCTAATGAGGATTTATTCCAGAAAGTAGTATAAGCCTTCTGTCTTTCCTGCCTGATAAAAAGCTTTTTGGAGGCAATTCCATAGGAAAAGAGTTATGAAATGCATTAATGTAGTGTCTCAGCAGCTAATAATAAGAAAATAATGATCTTGGGAGTGTTTCTGATTCTAAGGTCTTAGAAATCTGGATCGGAGATGGATCTTTACTTTTACCTTACAATCAGTTTTCTCAGTTCAGAAGACAGTTTTGTTTTTGGTAGACTCAGATTTGATCAGGCTTAGTGTACACAATCCAGTCTAACTAAACTCATTAAGTCTATTACAGAAATCGTAATGCTCCCATTTTTTAATTAACAGTAAAAAATTTGATTGCCCAAATGGCTGTTTTGTTCAACAAAATTATCTTTGGGAAGCTAGATCATAATCACCACAAGGCTGCTTATTGAGCATGAATGTGAGAATAAGGGGGAGTTAGTTTGATGATTTTAATTGGCTGGTGTCAAACTGGGATAATGGGGTGTATCCATTTCCACTATAAGATTATGCTTTTCCAAACTGACAGACATATTGGCTGGCAGAGGCCTGTGATCCCTGGTGGTGCTTGTTGTTGTTGTTGTTAGGTGCCGTCAAGTTTGTTCCAACTCATAGCCATCCTTTGTGCAACAGAACGGAGCACTACCCAGTCCTGCACCATCCTCACAATCATTGCTATGCTTGAGTCCACCATTGCAGCCAGTGTGTCAGTCCATCTCGCTGAGGGTTTTCCTCTTTCACTGACCCTCTGCTTTACCAAGCATGATGACTTCCTTGTCCAGGGACTGGTCCCTCCTGATAACATGTCCAAAGTTTGTGAGATGAAGTCTCGCCATCTTTGCTTCTAAGGAGCACTCTAGCTGTACTTCTTCCAAGACAGATATGTTCGTTCTTCTGGCAGTCCATGGTATATTCAATATTCTTCACCAACACCGTAATTCAAAGGCATCAATTCTTCAGTCTGAAGAAGACACTGATTAAAAAAAAAAATTTTTTTCTTTTTCATTTCCTGGTTTCTAGGATGTAGGCTTTCCATTCTCCCATTCTCAACTCCTCATTTACATTTACTGTGATTATTGATATATTTAGCTTTACATATGTGTAGTGAGTTTGGGGGAATTCGGGGCTGATCAAGGAAAAAGATACGATCACAAGATAGTATTACACAAGAAGCAGTTTGTTGGGCCCAGTGTGTTGACCGCTGCATGCAGGAGGCAGTCCCAACAGCAGGAGGTTTTCCTGAGGGAAGCAGCAGTACAAGGCGCCACCAGAAGGGGAAGAGAACCTGGAGGCTCCCAGGGAAGAGGAGAAGGGGGAGGAGCTTATGTGTCTCTGAGTGATGTCCTCCTGCAGCAGGGTGGGGAGTCTTTGGTTCTGGGAGCTCTGAAGACAGCAACATAAGGTCCTTATAACCATAGGATTTATCTTATCTAGAATGAGCAGATGTTGGGTATGTTAAACAGGCAGACTCAGAGTGGCTTAAGAATCTGCTTATTTGGGCTATTTTTGAAACAGTTGGATGTATACAAATTTGAGTTTGGTGCCAGTGGGCTTTTTGGGCTAATGGGCCTCAACTTGCTATGAAGAAATGAACGATCTAGGGCGAATGCACAGAGGCCATTTTGACTTATTTATGTAACAGTCTCTCACCTTGCTATTTGTTTTCTATTTTCTCCAGCTGCCCTCTTAGCTTATTTGACTTTTTCTTCCTTTTGGAAAACCGGTTGAATACCTTTTGATGTTTCCATTTTTTCCCTTATGTTGGCTTATTAGCTATAACTCCTATTATGTCTTCAAGTTTACTAATCTTTTCTTCTGCAATGTCTAATCTGTCATTAAACCCATTGTATTTTTTTTAATCTCACACAGTATAATTTTCTTCTTTAGAAATTCAGTTTGTGCTTTTTAAAATATTGTCTATGTTTTTACTTGACTTTTTGTATATGTAGAAGGTAGTTATAACAACTGTTTTAATGTTCTTTTAACATCTGTACCAGTCCTGGGTTAGCTTTAATTGTTTGATTATTGTCGTCATTATGGCTTATATTCTCTGCTTCTTTGCATGCCTGGTAATCTTCAATTGGTTGTCAGACATCATGGCTACTAGATATTTTTGTATTCACAAATATTTTGGAGCTTCTTTGGAATGCAGTTACTTGGAAACTGTTTGATCTTTTCAGATCTTATTTCTTTGATTTGTTTGGCAGTGCTCAGGTAGGACTGATCACCCCTTACTACTGAGGCATGACCTTGCTGAGCATCCTCAGTGCCTATCATGCATGAGCGTTTTCACATTTGGCTCTGGAAATAGGCACTCTTCCAAGCCCTGTGTGAGCACCACTCTGATTGTGTGTGCTGTTTTCTAATCTTTTCAGCTGTTTTCCACCCAGCCTTGGCTAGTTTCCGTATATTCATGTGCTGCTCTGTACTCTGCTGCATACTCATTGGGGACCCTCTGCAGATCTCTGTATTAAGTTTGATTCAAAGAGGGTCAATGGGTGTCTTGGAGGGCCTGTCAGATGCAGCTCAAGAAAGTGAGACGCAGGAAGCCTAGAAAACAGTAGAATTTAGTACTCATAGGTCCCAGAGAGGAAACTACAGCACACCTTGGCACAGGGCCACACAGGGGCTTGCACCTGGGGACAAAGCAACAAGTTGGAATTATCCAGACCCATTGCCATTGAGTGGATTCTGACTCATAGTGACCCTGTAGGATAGAGTAGAACTTCCCCATAGGGTTTCCAAGGCTGTAACCTTTATGGGAGCAGACAGCCATATTTTTCTCCTGCGGGGCCTCTAGTGGATTCCAACCACTGACATTTTGGTTAGCAGCTGAGCGCTTAACCGCTGTGCTACCTGGGATCCTGGTTGGAATTGTAGGAGGGGGCTTATGTATGACAAGTGGGGTGGCGTCTTGGAGTTAGTGCAAGCTGAAGTTTTTTGATTAATTAAAAAGCTTCTAATGCTTTAGCATGGGAAAAGAGAGAAGTTTTAATTGTGGACACCTGTACGGGGCATGGCCCAGAGGGGCAAGGAGTAAATACAGCTGTTGAGAGACTGGGTTATATAAGATAGTAATGGGCTCCTGTCACAGGAAACTATATGGGACATGCCTGGGAGAGCCAGTTAGAGACTACAACTCTTGAGAGAAGCCCTGGTGTGGTGGTTAAGCACTTGGCTGCTAACCAAAAGGTCAGCGATTCAAACCCACCAGCCAGTCTGCAGAAGTAGCAGTCCACTTCTGTAAAGATTTACAGCCTTGTAAACCCTATCGGGCAGTTCTGCTCTGTCCTTTAGGGTCAGTATGAGTCAGAATCAGCTCTACCGCAGAGGGTTTGTTTGTTTTTGGTACTCTTGATAGGATGTGTGATAAAATAGAAACAGCTGGGTCAGAAACCAAGCTAAAGGGTAATTAGGAGGAATTAATGAATGCTGAGGCAGCAACCTCTATAGGCTGTCAACTGGCCTATGACACTCTCCAGGGTTTTCAGGTTTTTCTGTGCTCTCTCCTGTCTGGTACTCTGTTCTGCAGAATCTAGCCTCCTGATGTCCTTTGACTCAGCTCTGTCTCCTAACTCAGGAGTATGCTAGGCTCTGCCTGGGCTCCCCCGAAACTCTCTCAAGGCATAGGTCAGTCGTAGGGCTTACCTCATTTGTTTCCTGTCTCCCCGGAATTGCTGTCATTAGTGGCCTGATATCCATTATTTTGAAACTATTTTATGATTATTTTGTCTTTTTCTTTGGTTGTTTCAGGTGGGAGGATAAGTCCATTCCATGTTACTTCATCTTCGCTGAAAGTAAAAATCCTCTATTGGACTTTAGCTATCTTTTTACAAAAAATTTTAAGTGGTTGCTCCAGGAAGTACAATATGCATCCTGAACTTTTCCTTCTTCTTAGAGTTAATAGAATACCACTTCACCTAAAATGTAGGAACGTTACACTCATTTACCCTTACTTTATTCTTCATGCCATAGTTGCTGTGTGTGTTATATTAAAAATTATAACTCCAGAGCATGATTTTAAGATTTATGCTTTAAATAGTCATATGTGAATAAAGAAATTGAGAGGAAAAGATTGACTTTAATATTTACCCACAGCCTTACCATTTGCAATGCTTGTTTTTCCTCTCTGATGATCAAGTTTCCACCTGGTATCATTTTCCTTCAGCCGTAGAATGTCCTATAGTATTTCTTGTAGTGCAGGTATGCTGGTGATGAAATTCTCTGTTTTCTCCTATCTAAAAATGTCTTTATTTTGCTTTAATTCTTGAATGATATGTTTACTGGATGTATAGTTCTGGATTGACTTTTTTTTTCCCCAGCACTTACAGGTGTTTCACTGTCTCAGGCCTATACTTTTTTCAACAATTGGTCAGTAGTCAGTCAAATTATTATTCCCTTGTATGTATATATAGAATATAGATTTTTTTCCTTGGCCACTTTTTAGACTTTTTTCTTTATCTTTTTCTGTGATGTACTTAGTTATGATTTCCTTTGTCACTTTTCTGCCCAGTTTTAGTGGAGCTTCTTGCATGTAAAAACTTATGTTTGGAACATTTTTGGTCATTGTTTCTTCAGAATAATTTTTCTTGCCCCATTCTGTCTTTCTTCTTCTCAAGCACTTCAATGATATGTGTATTGAATTTTTTAATATTGTCCCACAGGTCCCTGAGGCTCTGTTCATTTTCTTTTAATCTACTTTTTTTTTTTCCTTCAATCTTCAGATTGGATAATTTCTATTGATCTATCTTCATGTTCACCAACATTTTCTTCTGTCATCTATATTCTAGTGTTAAGCCCATCCATTGAATATTTTATTTCAGTATTCTGTTTTTATTTCTAGAATTTCAAATGACTCATTATTTTATAGTTAGTTTCTCTGCCTCTGCTAGAATCTCCTGTCTTTTCACCCATTGTAAGCATCTTTTCCTTTCTGTCCTTGAGCATAGTTATTAAAAAATTATTTAAAATCCTTGTTTGCTAATTGCAAAATCTGCATCATCCTGAAGTCAGGCTCTATTATTGTTGTTGTTTTTTTTTCTTGAGAATGGGTTACATTTCCCTACTTCTTTGTGTGATAAATGATTTTATATTGAATCCTGGATATTGTGAAAACTTTCTCAAGTTTCTGGATTCTATTATATTCTTCTGAAGAGTTTGATAATTTTTTATCAGCCAGTAATTTTTGTGAATTCACACTACAAATGCTGGACTTGATGGGCAACCACTGAACATTCAGTTGAGTTATTTTTGCCTAAGCTGGACTGCTTCGAATTACTTGCAGGTGTGTAGTTCATCGTTCAGCCAGAGATTTGAACTGAGTTTATACATAGAATTTGGGGCTCCCCCTCTCTGACATTCTCCTCTCTATGATTTTTCCCATCACATTCTGACAGACTCTGTCTTGTCATTCTTCAAGCCAGAAAGACCTAGGGCTTTTCTATCGGAATTTTACTTGCTCTATATAGTGCAAACTGGAAATATCCTTCAGGGTAAAAACTACAAAAACCCTAAATTCACCCCTTGCTATTTCTTTCTTCGTCAGATGAAGGGCTAAGTGTGCTACAAAGACCTTCATGGCTCAGAAATTCTATGATTTTATGAAGAATTGTATAGAATTATCCCTTTGCAGAAGAATAATGTATAAAAAGATACAAAACTAAAGATCTGGCATAATTAGATATTTACCTCTTATTAGGAAAATCAGACATTCTGGAGGCATAAATTAAGTGTAAGAGAATTTTTATGATACTTGGGGGAAAATTATGGTTCTTCTTTCTTTCTTAGGGGGTACATATTACTTTTGTCTCTGTTCCTCTTTGGGAAGCCTTTCTTCATATTCATTGTCCTTCAGGAGAGAGACCTTGTTACTTGGTGACATTAATCTAATCTTAGAACATTGTTTGTGGACTTGAAACTGTTAGTCTTTCTTGATAGACCTAATATTTCTGTCTTTGAAATCCAGGCTTCAATCTTAAATTCAAACACCAGTGTCCTGGGTTTGTGTTACATATTTACTTCACTTTTTAAGTTCAGGTAAAAAACATTACTTCAGATATTACCTAAGAAGATCAGTAGATGCTATTTTTAAAGTATTTTCATGGCTGGAGAACTTTTAGAAGACAAAAATGCTAGAGGCTATCTGGGCATTAATATGAGAGCTGTTCATTGGTGAGTCATTAATTTGTTGTCTTTCTACAATTCAGGCAGTCACTGAGGAGAAAATTGCCTCTCTGCAGCAGAGAGTAGTGGAACTAGAGAATGAAAAGGGAGCCTTGCTCCTTAGCTCTATGGAGTTGGAGGTGCTGAAAGCTGAGAATGGTATGTATAAATGAAAACCATAATTCTCTGTCTTTTTATCTCACAGAGCGCTCATGTATAACATGTCGATCCTCTGATAGTAAAGATCTTAGAAAGCAGAGCTGGTAGTTATAGAGGATAAGGTTAATACACGTTAAATAATTAGACCACATACCAGTGTTTATATAAAACTTGTTGCTGTCAAGTCGATTTGGACTCATACCAACCCTACAAGACAGAGTAGAACTGCCCCACAGGGTTTCCGAGGAGCAACGGGTGGATTCGAACTGCCGACCTTTTAGTTAGCAGCCGAGCCCTTAACCACTGTGGCACTGGGGCTGCAGTGTTTATATTAAGTCTAACATTTTGCAGTATGGGCTATAAAAGCTGCAGGATTTCTGTGTTATTTATATTTGTTTTGGAGTGGTAAAGTTATCATCTAGGAAGATAACTAGAAGATTGAACAGGACCTTAAAAAGATGATGGATTTTTTAATAGGCAAAATGAAGGAAAGACATTCGCAGTAATAATTTTGTGGGATAAGGTAACAGAGATTAGTATAAATAAAGATTCAAAAGTAGGAACCATTTTTGTTTCTGCCCATGCTATACCCTGCTTAGAACCCTACCCCTTTTCTTTAACCCGTTTAATTCCTACTTACCTTTCAGGCCTCAACTAGGGCATTATCTTTTTCAGTAAGTTGATCCTGATCCCCAAAAGCTGGGTTAAATGCATTTTTACATACCTTTCATGCTGTGTTGAAATTATCTTTTTATATGTCTTTTTATTACACTAAATAAACACTTCAAGGATTAAGTATAAGCTCTTCAAGGACAGGGGTAGTTCTTTTTTATTTTTAACTCTTCACTTTACCAAGAACTAATTTACTACCTGGCAAAGCTACTGCTGCTGAATAAAGTTTCGTTGGACTACACTGAAATCTATCATTTTATTCGATTGGACTGTGTGTGAGCAGTCAGTAGGAATGAAGACGTACCCCTTCCATTTGTCACCTGCTACACAGGACTTCCTGGATTGAGTAGTATATGATTAATAATGCTTTACTGATCTAACTTGTCCTGGATTAACTACGCTTTGTCTTTTAGAAATAAGAATGACTACACAAGTAGTTTGTATCATTTCTTAAAATCTAAAGTGAATTTTTTCAGTTTAATCCTTTTATGGTTTTCCACTGAGCTCTAAACTGGGATTGTACACTTTTAATGGAATATTTCCACCATTGCTAATAAATAATACCACAAATTCAGCTCATTATTGATCCCATTCAAAGCACTTCTTTAAGATGTTATCCATGATGCTTATTTTACAGTTTTTCAAGCAGTTCCCATCCTTTTCACATGCCTCTATGGTTATAGGTGATACATGAGATCCACTCTCTTCTCCTTTTCCTGCAGGGATCACTTACCTTAAGGTTTTCTGTGAATTTCTCTAATCAACTCATGGAATTTGGAATAAACTTAGTCTTTATGTTTAGTCTCATGGGTTACCTTTGCTTTATGTACTGTGTTTTATGTGACTCACCTTTGTCACTGCCATTTCTACCACTGTGCGCCTTCCTCAGATAATCTCGTAAAGTGCCTGAATACTTTATATACACTCTTATATTCATTTTTTTCCATGGTTATCTTTCATCTGTTCATTCTTCAAATAGCTGTATTGCCCTTCGTATGGAGTAGGTGCTATTCTGATTGCTGGGGATACTGCTATGAACATGGCATGGAGCTTAAATATCAGTCAGAAAGATAGGCCATCAATATGTTTATGACAGGCCATAAAATTTCAAAGAGTGATAAGTACTAGGAAAAAAAATAAGACTGGATGTTTTAATAAATCAATATATAATATAATTATAATGTATCTGTATAAACTCTAAAAAATATAAAACAAGGTGCAGCTTCATGAATAAAACTGCAGGTGTGTGTGGCACAGGGAAAGGCAGTAAAAGAGTCATTAGGGAAGGCCTCTTGGAGGCCTGGAAGCCTGAAGGATGAAAAGGGAATAGCCATGCAAAGAGCATGCCTAGCAAAGAAAACCACAAGTGTAAATGCCCTAAGGTGTGAATGAACTTGAAGGGTTTGCAGAAGAGAAAGAAGGCCAGTGTTTCTGGAGGGTAATGAATAAAGGGACAGTGCAAGAAGAGGAGGCTGGAGAACAAGTGGGGTCAGATTATAGAGGGCCTGTATAGGTCATGTTAAGACATTTGAGTGTACTGTAGAAAGATACTTCTTTTTTTCTAAGTACATATCTTAGGTCCTTAGAAAGAGTATAAGCTCTTTGAAGGCATATTATTACTCAATATTTTTATCCTTGAAGGTACTTCTACCGTTTTTAGATACACACATTTTAATAGAACCTGGGGGTAGAACCCGTAAGACTTGGATTCAAATCCCAGCTCTCCGTGAACCAGCTGTGTAACCTCAGCAGTCCTGTCATTTCTCTGTTGCCTCATATGATTGATGAGATTGGATAGTTTCCTTCTAGTGCTAAAATTTGATGTACATATCAATATATGTGAAAGCGTCAACAAAGTATAAGTGCTGTATTAATGCCAAAATGTATGTTATGAACACAGCAGGATTATGGATAAATTAAGGCAGATTTATTGCCCTAGAAGCTCAATATTATGTTGCAAAAATAGCTGCTTCATGTCACATCTCTGGCTTCCTTCTCTGTAAAAGCCCTCCATTACTTGTACTTCACTCAGTTTCATTATCATCGCCTAGTACTGTTCTGTTTCACAGTTCGTCTTCTCTTGCCACTTCTTCATTTGAATAAAATAAGCCTTTTATCTCCTCCAAACTATTTTATCTATTTCTTTTCTCTTGATTATTTCATGCATCTCAAATAGCCTCACACACAATAATGTCTGTTTTTTTCAAACACTCCATGTATATATATAACCTAAAGATATTTATTTTGTGACTTTCAGAAAAACTGTCTTCTCAGATTACTCTCCTGGAGGCTCAGAGTAGAGCTGGAAAGGCAGATAAAGAAGACAGCCAGGTAAGTGATACATTCTTAAAATTGCCAGAATAGGAACTAGCTTAAGAAGAAGGGGCTTCAAATCTAAACAGTTCTATGATCTTCTAATGTTGACAAAGAAATTCCATTACTTATGGAATGAGATCTGCTTAAGAGATCCGTAATGGTTATTATTTGTCATTTACTATCATTCGTTTTTGAATGTTTGGAATTCTTCATTTGCTGTGAACCAAAGCAATTACAGTAACCACTTATTTGGGATTTGATAACCCATTTCTATACTAAACTATCCTTTATCTCAGCTTCATGAAGAGATGACGAGATTAGACGGAGTCTCTTGTTTTGCTGTTTGTTATTGTTGGGGTTTGTTGTTTGTTTTTTCTCCCTCAGTTTGCGGTTTTATTAGAATTATATGAAAAGGCTATCTTTGGAGAAGGGTGTGTTTTATGTCTTGAGAATTATTAAAAGAAATGTATGGCTGCTTAATAACATTCTGTTGGTTTAAGATTATTATTAGTTGTATTGTGTTAAATTAGTTGTGTCCTTCCAGTTAAGAAGTCAGTGATAAGAGTCATAAACAACCTTGAGTAGTGAAGCTTCTTAACTGAATCATCTGCTTACTTATATTTAGTGTAGCCCTGGTGGCATGGTGGTTAAGAGATCAGGCTGCTAACTAAAAGGTCGGCAGTTCAAATCCACCAGAGCCGCTCCTTGGAAACCCTATGAGCAGTTTTACTCTGTCTTGTAGGGTCACTGTGAGTACTTTTTCATGGAGACACTGGTGCTCTGTTCGCTAAATTTCAAAAGGGGACTGAATTTTGAAAATTGTAGTATTTGTCTTCAGGGGCAGATTAACCAATAAGCAGGGTGCACACAGGCTTACTTGTGTTTACTTACTAATCTGTAGTGAACAGTTTCGCATGGGTTTCACCACATCTTTGACAATCTACTTGCCTGTGAAGGCCATCTCATCTAATATTCTCAACTTTCTCATTTCAGTGGAGAGTTTAGGAAGAGGAATCCCGTGATTTCCTCCTTTGTGTGGATGGAAACAAAGATTTAACTTATTTCCTACTTCCATTTTTCTTCGTAAGCAGTTCTTAGGAGAAACAAGTAGGAGTTCTAATATGAATAAAAAACTGTTTTTCCAAATACAGGATATCTAGAAAATAAATTCCAGATTTCCTTAGGTCTTACAGATAAGGCTTGACCATGGCGCAGGATTGACAGAGTACCTTCAGGTCCAATCTGGGAAATCAAAACAGATTTTAAAAACATTTAACAGTTTTATCAGAGGAAGAAGGTTTGGACTGAAAAGTTTCAGGCTTTAGAAAGTGCAACAAATACCAGTTTTTAGTGAGGCTATTTCTTAGTATAAAACAATGGATTGAGGCTTTTTTCTTTCTTTTCCTTTTTTTTTTTTTTTTTAATAGATCAGCATGGTTGATAATACCAGGCTCAACAAGAGCAACTCTTCTACTGAGGAAAGTGGGCAAGATGTCCTAGAGAACACATTTTCCCAGAAACATAGAGAATTATCAGTTTTACTCTTGGAAATGAAAGAAGCTCAAGAGGAGATTGCCTTTCTTAAAATGCAGTTACAAGGCAAAAAGACGGAGGGGGACCCAGAGGACCTTGGTCAGAAAGAAGTAAAACAGATGGAGAGTGAGGGAATACCTCCAGTTGAAATGAAAGTATTGCTTGAAGATACAGGGCAAGATTTTCCCTTAATGTCAGATGAAGAGAGCAGTCTTCCAGCAGTTAAAAAAGAAGAGCAAGCAAGCAATAAACATCAAAATACAACCTCCGAGGAAATGCCTTTTAATGACACTAAAATGGAATTGAAATCAACAAAGCAGGATGCTATTGATAAGTCTCCTGCTGTGATACCAGATATTAGTCAGTGTCAGCAGGATGAATTGAAGAGGTTAAAAAGTCAAATTTCAGAGCTTGAGATAAGCTTTCATAAAGCAGAAGAAACCTATGAAAAAAATTTAGATGAGAAAGCTAAGGAAATAAGCAAGCTAACTCAGTTGATTGAAGAGTTTAAGAAAAATGCTGAGAACACAAGCAATGCATTCACTGCTTTGTCTGAAGAAAGAGACCAGCTTCTTTCCCAGGTAAAGGAGCTTAGTATAGTAACAGAGCTGAGGGCTCAGGTACAACAACTGGAAGCAAATCTTGCAGAAGCAGAAAAGCAAAGAAGACTAGACTATGAAAGCCAGACTACTCATCACAACCTGCTCACTGAACAGATCCACAGTCTTATCATAGAAGCCAAATCTAAAGATGTGAAAATTGAAGTTTTACAGAATGAACTAGATGATATGCAGCTTCAATTTTCTGAGCAGAGTACACTGATTAAAAGTGTGCAGAGCCAGCTGCAGAAGAAGGAAAATGAAGTGCTTGAGGGGGAGGAACGTTTGAGGGATATGTCAGATAAGATGGAAGAACTTTCACGTGCTCTTTCACAGAAGGAACTTGAAATAGCAAAACTGGATCAACTATTAGTAGAGAAAAAGAAAGATGTGGAAACCCTCCAACAAACCGTCAAGGAGAAGGATCAGCAAGTGACAGAAATCAGCTTTAGTATGACTGAGAAAATGGTTCAGCTTAATGAAGAGAAGTTTTCTCTCGGGGTTGAAATTAAGACTCTTAAAGAACAGCTGAATTTATTATCCAAAGCTGAAGAAGCAAAAAAAGAGCATGTAGAAGAAGATAAAGAAGTTGTTTCTGGCCTTAAACATAATTATAATGAGTTGAGTCCAGCAGGGCTAATAAGTAAAGAAGAACTTCAGCATGAATTAGACCTTCTAAAGAAAGAAAGTGAACAGAGAAAGAGAAAGCTCCAGGCAGCTCTTATTAACAGAAAGGAACTTCTACAAAAAGTCAGTAGATTAGAAGAGGAATTGGCCAAAGTGAGAGATGAATCTAGGAAAGAAGTGCCACTTAATGCGAATGAGAAGAGGGAAATGGAAGAAGATAAAGAGAACAAAGAAGACTCAGAAAAATGCGTGAGTTCTAAGTGCCAAGAAATAGAAATTTATTTAAAACAGACAATATCTGAGAAAGAAGTAGAACTAGAGCATGTAAGGAAGGATTTGGAAGAAAAGGTAGCAGCTGAAGAGCAGTTACAGGCTACGGTCAAACAGATGAATCAGAACTTGCAAGATAAGACAAACCTGATAGATTTGCTGCAAGCACAAATCACTGAAAACCAAGCAGTTATACAAAAATTAATCACAGGTAACAAGGATGCAGGTGATGGAGACTCAGCAGCACCTGTAAAAGAAACAGTGGTAATCAGTCCAGCTGGTGCAGGTAGTGGAGAACAATGGAAACCAAAACTGGAAGAAAAGATATTGGACCTTGAAAAAGAAAAGGAGCAACTTCAGAAGAAGCTACAGGAAGTGTTAGCCTCACGCAAGGTGATTCTAAAAAAGGCACAGGAAAAAGAAAAACATCTTAGAGAGGAGCTAAAGCAACAGAAAGATGACTATAATCGTTTGCAAGAACAGTTTGATGAGCAAAGTAAGGAAAAGGAAAACATTGGAGACCGACTAAGACAACTCCAGATTCAAGTAAGGGGGTCTTTAGACAGAAACCCCCCACCAGGCATTGATCAGGAGGAATCAAGTTCTTCCATTCAAGGTTTAGAGGATCCTGTATTCAAAGCTGCAGAGCAGCAACTTGATCAACCTGTTTCAGAGTCCCCCTTGGGCCCAGACTTGCCTTCTCAACATGAAGATGCAAATATTCTGCAGAGTAATCCTTATATTGACCAGATTAAGGCCAAACTGAAAGAAATAGAATCCGAGAAAGAAGAGTTAGAATTGAAGGTTAGTTCTACATCAAGTGAGCTTACTAAAAAATCAGATGAAGTATTTCAATTACAAGAGCAGATAAATAAACAGGTTTTAGAGATCCAGAGTCTGAAGACAGCTGCCAGTGAAGCTGAAGCCCATGCAGAAAGCCTGAAGCTGACGTTGGAAAGCAATCAACTAGAAATTGCTAGATTAGAACATCTCAGAGAATTACAGCCTGCACTAGATGAACTGCAAAGACTCATAAGCAAAAAAGAAGAAGAAGTTAGCTACCTTTCTGGACAACTTAGCGAGAAAGAGAAAATCTTTACTAAAGTGAAGACAGAGGTAATAGAACGAGAGGACTTAATTAAGGCTTTACATATGCAACTGGAAATGCAAGCCAAAGAGCATGATGAGAAGATAAAGCAGTTACAGGTGGAACTTAGTGAAATGAAGCAAAAACCAGAAGAGACTGAAAAAGAAGGTAAAGCAAAGCTACAAATACAGAGGAAACTTCAAGCTGCCCTTATTTCCCGAAAAGAAGCACTGAAAGAAAACAAAGATCTCCAAGAGGAGTTGTCTTTGGCAAGAGATAGCATTGAACGGCTTACCAAGTCTCTGGCAGATGTAGAAAGCCAAGTTTCTGCTCAGAATAAAGAAAAAGATATATTCTCACAAAGGTTAGCTCTTCTTCAGGAAGAGAGAGACAAACTTATTGCAGAAGTGGACAAGTCTTTACTGGAAAATCAGAGTCTCAATGGCTCTTGTGAAAGTCTGAAGCTAGCTCTGGAGGGTCTTACTGAAGACAAAGAAAAGTTATTGAAGGAAATTGAATCTTTGAAATGCTCTCAGATTGCAGAAAAGACCGAGTGGCAAGAGAAGCACAAGGAGCTACAAAAAGAGTATGAAATTCTTCTGCAGTCTTACGAGAACGTTAGTAATGAGGCAGAAAGGATTCAGCATGTGGTAGACGCTGTGAGGCAAGAAAAGCAAGAATTATATGGCAAGCTGAGAAGCACAGAAGCAAACAAGAGAGAGACAGAAAAGCAGTTGCAGGAAGCTGAACAGGAAATGGAGGAGATGAAAGAAAAGATGAGAAAGTTTGCTAAGTCTAAACAACAGAAAATCCTAGAGCTAGAAGAAGAGAATGACCGGCTAAGAGCAGAGGTCCACCCTGCAGGTGATACATCTAAAGAACGTATGGATGCACTTCTTTCTTCTAATTCCAACATGAAGGAGGAACTAGAAAGCGTCAGAATGGAATATAAAACCCTGTCTAAGGACTTTGAGGCTCTGATGACTGAGAAAGACATTCTAAGTCAAGAGGTTCAAGATTTAAAGCATCAGATAGAAGATAATATATTCAAACAAGCTAGCCGGGAAGCCATTGAGAAACAAGATAATCAAGGGGATATTATTGAAGAGGCAACGCAATCTGTGTCAGATGAGGTTAAAGAGCAAGACTCTCCGAGTAGGAGTACAAGGCCTGAATATTCAGAATCCATTCTATTGGAGAACAGTGGCAAGATAGATCCTGACATAAGTGAGAATGTCAGCTCACATGGTGAAATTAATAACTACCTACAGGAGATTGATCAGCTCAAAGAAACAATCGCTGAATTAGAGAAGGAGAAGCATAAAGAAAAGGAATTTAGTCAGGCATTAGAAAATGAGAAAAATACCTTACTGAATCAAATACTATCAAAGGATGGTGAACTAAAAATACTTCAGGAAGAAGTAACCCAAATAAACTTGTTAAATCAGCAAATCCAAGAAGAACTCTCCAGAGTTACCAAATTAAAGGAGACAGCAGAAGAAGAGAAAGATGATTTGGAAGAGAGGCTTATGAATCAGTTAGCAGAACTTAATGGAAGCATTGGAAATTATTATCAGGATGTGACAGATGCCCAAATAAAAAATGAGCAACTGGAATCTGAAATGCAGAATCTTAAAAAGTGTGTGAGTGAACTGGAAGAAGAAAAGCAGCAGTTAGTCAAGGAAAAAACTATGGTGGAATCAGAAATACGAAAAGAATATTTGGAGAAAATACAAGGTGCCCAGAAAGAACCTGGCAGTAAAAGCCATGCGAAGGAGCTTCAGGAGCTGTTAAAAGAAAAACAACAAGAAGTAAAGCAGTTGCAGAAGGACTGCATCAGGTATCAAGAGAAAATTAGTGCTCTGGAGAGAACTGTCAAGGCCCTAGAATTTGTTCAGTCTGAGTCCCAAAAAGAGTTGGAAACAAACAAAGAGAATCTGGCCCAAGCTGATGAACTCCGCAAGAAGGCACAAGCAGAATTAGCTAGCTTCAGAGTATTGCTAGATGACACTCAAAGTGAAGCAGCTCGGGTCCTAGCAGACAATCTCAAGTTGAAAAAGGAACTTCAGTCAAATAAGGAATTAGTTAAAAGCCAAATGAAGCAAAAGGATGACGATCTTGAGCGAAGACTAGAGCAGGCAGAAGATAAGCACCTGAAAGAGAAGAAGAATATGCAAGAGAAACTGGATGCTTTGCGTAGAGAAAAAGCCCACTTGGAAGAGACTTTTGGAGAGATTCAGTTTACTTTGGACAAGAAAGACATGGAAGTTAAGCAACTTCAGGAAAACTTGGACAGTACTGTGGCCCAGCTTGCGGCCTTCAGTAAGAGTATGTCTTCCCTCCAGGATGATCGGGACAGGGTGATAGATGAAGCCAAGAAATGGGAGAGGAAGTTCAGTGATGCCATTCAAACCAAAGAAGATGAAATTAGACTTAAAGAGGAGAATTGCAGTGTTCTAAAGGATCAGCTTAGGCAGATGTCCATCCACATGGAGGAACTGAAGATCAACATTTCCAGGTAAATGAATAAAGGTATTTGCTTTACTCGTGAGGTAATTGCTTCTCCAGATTTAATTGGAGGCAAAGTAAGTCTCTATTTAAACTATTTCTTTAAGTAATAATTTTGGCTTAAATTCCCTTAGAAGTCTCACTTTCTACTTTTTTTCCCCCTTGTCAAATAACCTCCTGCTACAACTTGTATTAACATAAAAAAATTCACATCTGCTTCTCTTCCCATCTTCCTCCTGAGAGATCTCTTAGATTTCTCCCTTCCACTACTTTTGTCTGGATTTTTACCACAGGACTCCCAACTTATTGCCTTAGCCTCCTAAATGGTCTCTTCTCCATATTTTACATCAATTCTTACTGCATATGCCTGTTAAGAGTTATTTTCCTCAAACTTCACTTTTATAATACCACTTTCAAGCCCAAGAACCAAAGTGTCCTCCACCCTTTGCATGCCTCCACTTCTTCTAATAGTTCTAATTTATAGGTTTCCTCACTGTCTCTCGAACCAACATTATTCCTTAAAGGGCCAAGCAAAATAAGAGAAAGTATTACTTTTTAGAGTGTAAAATACCATGTCACCAAAATAAGAAATGTAATTTGGAGTGTATGATTTAAATATATGAATCCTTAGGTCCAGTATGCCTTTAATACAGAAAATTCAAAAGACAAGTCTGTAATACAGAGAATGAATATCTCTTCAATAAAAAGATGAACACCTTCAATTATGAATAACTGAGTGACAAGGAAGTATTTAAAGTATTGGTTCCCTTGTAGATCAGTTGTGTAGTATTTGTTCTTTAGACATCAAGTAGTTTTCCCATTAAGTCTGTAATTAATACTCTTTGTTTTTTCAGGCTTGAACATGACAAGCAGACCTGGGAGTCCAAGGCCCAGACAGAGGTCCAGCTTCAACAGAAGGTCTGTGATACTCTACAGGGGGAAAACAAAGAACTTTTGACCCAGCTAGAAGAGACTCGATACCTATACCACAATTCTCAGAATGAACTAGCTAAGTTGGAATCAGAACTTAAGATTCTCCGAGACCACTCGACTGATTTAAATAACTCTTTAGAAAAATGTAAGGAAAACAAAGAAAATTTGGAAGGGATTGTCAAGCAGCAAGAAGCTGATATCCAGAATTGTAAGTTCAGTTATGAACAGCTAGAGGCTGATCTTCAGGCCTCCAGAGAACTGACCAGTAGACTGCATGAAGAAATAAACATGAAAGAGCAGAAGATCATAAGCCTGCTTTCTGCCAAGGAAGAGGCAGTCCAAGTAGCTATTTCAGAACTGCATCAACAACATGATAAAGAAATTAAAGAACTGGAAAACCAGCTGTCCCAGAAGGAAGAGGAGAACAAAAAAGCTGTTGACAAAACCAGTCAGCTTATGGAAACACTGAACACCATCAAAAAGGAAAGCACTCAGCAGAAGGCTCAGTTGGACTCCTTCGTTAAATCCATGTCTTCTCTCCAGGATGACCGGGACCGCATAGTAGGCGACTATCAACAGCTGGAAGAACGACATCTTTCTGTTATCTTAGAAAAAGATCAACTCATCCAGGATGCTGCTGCTGAGAATAATAAGCTTAAGGAAGAAATTAGATGCTTAAGAAGTCATATGGATGATCTCAATTCTGAGAATGCCAAGCTAGATGCAGAACTGATCCAATATAGAGAAGACCTGAACCAAGTAATATCAATAAAGGACTGTCAGCAAAAGCAACTCCTTGAAGCTCAACTTCAGCAGAATAAGGAGCTGAAAAGTGAATATGCTAAATTAGAAGAAAAGCTGAAGGAGTCTGAGGAAGCAAAGGAGAATTTGCAGAGGTCCTCTAATACCCTACAGGAGGAGAAACAAGGCTTATCTAAAGAGATTGAGAGCTTAAAAATATCTATATCCCAACTAAAGGGACAGGTAACAGACTTACAAGAAGAAGGTACTTTAGGAGTATTTCAGGCTCAATTAAAAGTAAAGGAAGAAGAGGTACAAAAGTTAAGTACTACCCTTTCTTCCTCTCAGAAAAGAATTAAAGAACTGGAAGAGGAATTGGTTCATGTTCAGAAGGAAGCTGCCAAGAAAGTAGGTGAAATTGAAGATAAACTGAAGAAAGAATTAAAGCATCTTCATCATGATGCTGGGATAATGCGAAATGAGACTGAAACAGCAGAAGAGAGGGTGGCAGAGCTAGCAAGAGATCTGATGGAGATGGAACAGAAATTACTCACGGTCACCAAAGAAAATAAAGATCTCACAGCACAAATTCAGTCGTTTGGAAAGTCTATGAGTTCCCTGCAGAATAGTAGAGATCATGCCAATGAGGAGCTTGATGAACTGAAAAGGAAATATGATGCCAGTCTGAAGGAGGTGGCACAGCTGAGAGAAAAACAGGGCCTCCTAAGCAGAGAGAGAGAGGTTCTTGTGTCTAAAGCCGCCTCTCCCAAGAGCTCCACTGAGGATAACAGCTTGTCTCATCTTGAGAAACTTAACCAACAGCTTCTATCCAAAGACGAACAGTTGCTTCACTTGTCCTCACAACTAGAAGATTCTTACAACCAAGTGCAGTCTTTTTCCAAGGCTATGGCCAGTCTGCAGAATGAGAGAGATCACCTGTTGAATGAGCTGGCGAGGTTCCGCAAGTCCGAGGAAGGGAAGCAGCGGTCTGCAGCCCAGCCTGCAACCAGCCCTGCTGAAGTACAGAGTTTAAAAAAAGCCATGTCATCACTCCAAAATGACAGAGACCGACTAGTGAGTGTCTTCCTCTCTCTCAGATCTGTATTTGAGGGATTTTGAACCTTTCTGTAAATTGATCTTCATTTCTATAGAAAAGGATAAACAAACTCTGGGATATTATTTGGGCAGTCAGGGGCAGGATTATACATCTCACGGGTTCTGTCTGGTCTCAGGAAAACAAAGAAACATTTAAATTGTTTTAGATCTACCATTACCATTTTACAAAATCATAAATTTCCTCTGCACTAAACTCTCCACTGGTTATAAAAAGACTAATGATGGAGAAGTGTTTTATATTTTATTTATATATAATACACACACACACACAAATGTGTAGTTGTTTCCAGAATTTGTCATATTTAATTGAAAAAAAGTATAGGATTCACTCAGTGCTTTCTTACGATGATGGTTTAGCAGTAGATCGTCTGGTAAAATTAGGAGTAGAGAGGATTCAGCTTGTCTCATACTAACTCAACCTTAATTTATGAAAAAAAAATGTACAAAGGGTTTATTTAAGTTTAAATGACTATTTAGTAAAGTTTTATTTGTAGGCTGAACCATTTGCCCATTTCCCTTTAATACCCAGCTTTTTTCAATGGGTGAAGACAATAAGGAGGGTCTGTAATGTGGAAATTTTGCTGCTTTTAGTAGCATCCAGGAGTTGAATCCAGGTCTTTTTCAGAAAACTTCCAGGTCATCAAGATTCAGAGGCAAAAACGAGGACTACAAGCTAGATTGTCAGGACATCCTACTCTGCTACTTTTCTGTCTTCCCTTTCATGACAGTCTAGAACTCTGCCAAGGCCGTGTACTTATAAGAAAACAGGCCAAGTGTGAAATAAATTGAGCTTCAAAAGGTCAGATTCCCATATTTTGTAATATGGGATCCATGCCTAGAATCTGAAAATTTTAGTTAAGTTGAGCCCCAGTGAAAAGATCACTTCCTCTAACTATAGAGTCTCATGCAACTTTTTCTTTGTAGGTGATGTGTTCGTTCATATTACACTATTTATGGACATTTTTACAATCTGAGCAAAGCCCCCTTTTTCAGCTATGATTTTGGCATCTACAGATGTATGCATATTTGTTATGTTTTTAAAATAATAGATTTTTAGCTCACTTTGTTCTAGGTGCTTGGCTTTTTATCAGTCCTTTCAGATCACAAATCAAAAGGTTCTCGCCATCAGGACAGCATGTGCTTCAAAACTGTAACTTATGCTATCTTGGTGTTGATTCACCTCTTTAAGTCAAATCTTTTACTATGTGGGAGGTGTTAGAATAGATTATGAATTAACTATGTTATATTCAGTGAATTGCTTTATTATTCTTATCTGTTGTAAACTAAGCTTTGTATCTCTCAATGCTAGTTCCACATTTTTGTCTGCTAAATATTTACAAGCCAAGCTGGCTTTTCTTTTTTTATTTCCCTGTTTCCATAACTCAGTAATATTCTTCTGTTCCTGTAGACTCATAATTGTCTATGATTTTACTCCATTTAATCATCAATGTCTATCATTTCTTTATTCACAATGTGCCTCAAGTCTTTTTCTTTTCCATCCTCAATATTCTAGGATAAACTCTTAACACCTTACCCTTAAACTATTGTAATAATGCTCCTCCCGGTTTGCCACCTCGCCAAAACATTCTATACACCATTGCCCAATAAATCTTTCTGAAACTCTATTTTCTTATTATTTTACTACTCAAACACCTTTAAAAGTTGTAGCTCTAGAATAGGCTTAGGATTCAAACCTCTTAGTCTGGCATTTCACACCCTACAGTTTGTCCTTACCATTCTCCTTTCTTCCCTGTCTTCCCTTTTACTACTCCCCAATTTATACCCTTCATTCCAGCCAAGCTGATCTATTCACTATGTAATAAACCTATCTGGTACTTCCTGCTGATGCGTATTGCCATCCTCTCTGCCAAAATGTCCTCTCAATTGTTTTCCATCTTGGTGAATATTTCCCACTCTTTAAAGGTTACCCCAGAGTACATATCCTCTGGTTATATTTCTTATTGCTTGATTATCTATTGCCTTCTCTTTATACTTCCCTTATACTCATTTTCTTATTGCTTGTGTGTATGTGTGCGTGTGTGTGTCTGTGTATACACTAGTTCTTATTTTCCCAATTAGATTGCAAAGTCCTGATAAGTAAATGCTGTGTCTTACATTTTTTGATTTCCCATGGAATTTAGCATAGAGTTAACTAGTCATATGGTAGATATCTTAGTCATCTAGTACTGCTGTAACAGAAATACCACACGTGGATGGCTTTAACAAAGAGAAATTTATTTTCTCACAGTCTAGTAGGCTAGAAGTCCAAATGCAGGGCATCAGTTCCAGGGGAAGGCTTTCTCTCTGTCGGCTCTGGAGGAAGGTCCCTATTACCAATCTTCCCCTGGACTAGGAGCTTCTCAATGCAGGAACCCCGGGTCCAAAGGACGTGCTCTGCTCCCGGTGCTGCTTTCTTGGTGGTATGAGGTCCCCAACTCTGCTCACTTCCCTTTCCTTTTATCTCTTGTAAGATAAAAGGTGGTGCAGGCCACACCCCAGGGAAACTTACGTCAGATCAGGGATGTGACCTGAGCAAGGGTGTTACATCCTACCCTAATCCTCTTTAACATAATCTAATCTTGCCTCATTAACCACAGGCAGAGATTAGGATTTACAACACATAGGAAAATTATATCAATCACAAAATGGAGGACAGCCACACAATACTGGGAATCATGGCCTAACCAAGTTGACACATATTTTGGGGTGACACAGTTCAATCCATGACAGTAGATAATAATTGTTAGTCATTCTCTGTATTTGTAGTTGTTAGTGAAAGCACCAGTGTTTTCTCCATTGTGTAAATTGTCAGGTAGAAGAGGTATGGGAAGTTCCAAGGACTGAAACTTTCACATCTGCCATGAAAGAGTCATAAACTCTAAGAAGGATTATAAATTACTATGAAGGCCTGACAGTCTAATTTTGTGACACAGGATCTGTTGCACTCTGTTGATGCTCTTCTGCTTACTTCTGAATGTATTGACTATCCATCAACTCTCCTTTTCCAAATATCTTGTTTTCAGTCTGTCTCATGGACATTGAAGTTTTTAGTCTATTGATCACTGGTTGCATGTGGTGGTAAGCATGGGAGATAACTTATTTAAATCTCTGTCAGGTTAAACATTTAGCACAGGCCAGAAGTTTATCACCTCTGCCTGCTCTACACTCCTTTGCCCTCAGGACTACCACAGAGATGATTTAGGTCTGAAAGCCACTTGGATTACTTTGGTTTCCTTCTCTACTTTTTTAAGCAAGGGGGAGTTTCCCGAATAAAGTTCTGAGGGTCCAGATGATGGGAAGTTAGTACAAGGGATTCTACTAGGGCATATCAAACTACTCTGCAAACATTCTGGAGTTTCCACATCTATCCAAACTTCCTTAGGACTTTCCCGTAGTCAAATGGACCACTTAGACAATCTCTACCTAAAGGATGGAGAACAAATCTCTAGGGAGTGACTGTATTTATCTATACTCACTTCATTTGGAAAATGACTCGTAGCATATAAAGATAGGAGCAGTTTATCAAGATAAAATATAATAAAGGGAACTGGGAAGGAAGAAAAAAGGAGCAAAAAAGACTAAACCAGGAGTAAGGTTAGTGTTCCACGGAGATGTCACAATATCCTGTACTCTTTGTTAGAAAGATGGGCTACTAATTTGTCAGCTTTCTGGCAGTCATCAAAAAGAGGGAATCAAAACCATGTGTAAGAATTTAGGAAAAAAGGTAGAAAGAAAAAGAAACCACCTGCTCAAGACAAGAGTAGTTATTCTTTAAGTATTAAGTTTTGCAAGAAATTTCTTCTGTGGGTTCCCGTAAAGATGATATGTTGTTGTGAAACAACATTCTTCTCTACAGTAAATATAATAATGTGTTTTATAGAGTTTTTATTTAGTTGTACCTTGATGTAAGCACATAGCATAAGAACTACACACAATTCACTAAACGTTACCTCTAACAAGAGTTAAAATGCGGTCCCAGACAAACAGCTCTCTGATGATTTGGTCTATTTCAGGAGTAACATTTGGAGTATCTAGAGGAGTAGGTAGGCTGCATAAAAAATATATTTTTGTTCTAAAACAAAATAATGTTTTCAATTTAGTTTTTGTTTAAAAAAGATATAGACATATTTTAAGAATCATTCAGTTCTACAAGGTTTTGTGAGAAAAACAAGCACTAGTGCTCCCAACCCCGCTTCTCCTTCTTCTGAGACAATTGCTTTCAACTTTTTCAGCTTATTCTTTTGGTATTTCCTCGACATCTAAATATCGTGCTTATATTTCATTTTGACATTTTATTCTTTGCATTAACTATTAACTTTCCATTATGCTAACATGAAAGTTTAGCTCTCTTTACTCCCTCTTCATCCACAGTATACATGCACATTTTCAACACAAAAACTGCTCCCTCCCCCACCCCCCCGAATTTTCCTTATGTAATTTAATTTTAATTTTGATTAAATCAGTTTTCAGTGTTTACATTTTTACAACTAGGAAATGCTATTAGAGCTGAGACGGGTTACTTTTCTTTTACTCAACATCTTTCTGTTTACCTAGAGTTAATAACTGAGTTTTTATATTGTTGTTACTTAGTTTTCTTAGTACTTATAAGTGTAATTTAACCATAGATTTGCTGTCGGTTGTCCAGCCTTCTCTCCAGAAGTTGCACATCAGATGTTTTATCAGTTTCATCTTCATGAAGAAAATCCTCATGAACTGCTCCTACCTGAACCAATTGCCCTGTACTCCTAGGACATAGTTTTCATCCTAGAATATTGCCCTTCACCACCATCCGAGGGTTTCCCTTCATCTCTCTCCTATATTGGACCTCCTGTTTCTTTTATTCTGTGTCTTCTCTTTTTTGGTTTTGTGCCACTGTTTTAATGGAATAAATCATTCAGTAGCTTCCAAAAAAAAGATACATAGTATCTGGGTATAGAATTCTAGGTTGAAAATAATTTCTCCTCAAAGTTGTGCAGACATTGGTTTCTTGCCTTTTAGCTTACATTGTGATTCAGAAGTCTGAAGCTATTCCGAGTCCTGATTCTTAATATGCTTTCTGTTTCTTTCTTCTTCTCTCCCTCCCTTCCTTCCCCTCCCTCCTTTCACAATATATAGAATCATTTTGTCCTGTATGTGCTGAAATTTCACGATAATGTGATTTGGTGTCGATCTGTTTTTATTCATCATGCTGACTAGTCCTTTGAATCTAAGAAGTCATATTTGACAATTTTGGGAAATTCTTCTGAATTATCATTATTTTTTTTTGTATTTTTTTCCTTATCCTTTTCCTCTGTTGTCTTTTTTCTGAAAATATTATTTAAACATAGAACTTTCTGAATTGATTCTCTAGCTTTCTTACCTTTTTTGTTCTTTTTGCTATACTTGGGGGAGATTTTCTCATCTTCATCTTTTGATTCCTGCATTGAAATGTTCATATTTGCCATCACACTTTTAATTTCTAAGGACTTCTTTTTTTCCTTATCTCAAGGATATATTTTTGTCACTTATCTGAACAAGGGTAGTGGTGGTAGTTTTGTTTTTTGGAGTTTTCTTATAATGCATTTTTTTTATAATGTTTTATTTTTGCTATAATATTTCTAATTTCTAATATTCTCTCTTAAATCTTCTAGTATTTTCTTCCCCTTGCTAGTCTCTGAATTTTTCAAATTACTTTTTTTCTAGTTTGTTTTTATCTCTGTCTTTGATATTAGTTATTCTTCCGGTGAGGGTTAATCTTTGGTTTTCTGTTCATGTATAAGGTAGAGTCTGAAAAGCTTGTGGACAGGGCTTGCCAACCGTGAGTATCATTGCAGTATGATCTTGCTGAGCTTTATGGGTAGTCACCATGTTGGTATGTTTAGTTTATCCGAACTGGTCAGATTTTCTAGAGAAGACATCTCATTTCCTGCCTGGAGGGTAAAGGCCTGTGTTCCAGAATTCTGTAATATGAGTAGGGGAAAGCCTTCAGCATTCAGAAAACATACATTCACTCATCACCCTTGTTTTGGTACATCCCTTACCTTCATCTGCACCTGGTGTTCCATATTCCAGAGACACCTCTCTTTTACCTTCTCTGGAGAGTAAAGCTCTAGTTGTCTTTGGGATGACAATTAAGTGTGGAGCGGAGGAGAGGAGCTAGGGATACAACTGTTTCTTAAGCAGCTTTCATCTAATGCTCCTCATTTCAGCTACCACTTCCTCCCACCCCCATCACCATCTTTTCCAGAGGTTCCTGGTGCTGTTAATTCCTGAGCCTTTTGAAGATTCTACAGAGTAAGTCCAATTGGTTCTTGACTTTCCTCACTGCCAGCTTACGATTCAGCTTTCTCAGATCTGTTAAGTCAGTTACCACTTATCCATCTGCTTTTCAGCTTCTAAAATTTTGTTGTTGCTGACTCTCTGTTCTTCCTATTGTGTTTTATGCTTAAAACATAATGCTTTATTGTAGCTTTAGTGGTGTTTCTGGAGTGGGCGAAAGAGGTGTGTGTTCAGGGCCCCCTATTTGTCCAGATATCTTGCCATTATTTCTTACTGCTAAGCTTTTAATAAGTATTGGAGTAAAGAGTTTGAGGATATACCTGGAGTGTAGATAGGCAGTTTTGCAAATTAAAGACAAGTCTGTCATCATCATCATCACTAACTTTATTGAAAGCTTACTATGTGTGAAGTGCATTAACTTTCTCTTAATTCTTATACTCCTAGGAGGGAGGTACTGTAAGTTTTCTTCATTTTATGAATGAAGGAAATTAAAACAGATGGTATAGGAACATGCATAGAGTCATACAACCAAGAAGTGGCAGAATGTCTGACTCCGGAGCCTAAACGCCGTTAACCACTGGGTGTCACTGCTTTCTTTAGAATCAGCATCAGCTAAACAGGAGTTAAAGTTCATATCCACAGAAGGAAGTTTGGAAGCCTAACCAGGGCACATGGCTAAATAGAAGGCCAGTCCATCTTCACACTTCTGGTTCTAGGGAGTTACCACCCACAAAGAAGCTGTAGGTCTCTTAAGTCTAGCCCATGTTAGAGTTGTAGATCTAAAGTCAGTGTAGGACCTCGGAAGGCAGGGTAAAACAGGAATGATCAGGCCCATGGGCAGCTCTGTGGGGTGATTTTCACCAGTCAGGTTGCATGTGTTTCACCATTTTAGAGATTCATGCTGTAGTGATATGTCAGTGGACTGTTGGAAGCTGGTAGTCTGTTGTGCTGTCTGACTGACTTAGCAGGGAGCTACTAATGACTGATAGCTGGGTGAATGAGATGAGATGTGATAAATCACCCTTTTGCTTTCCCTTTGGTTAAAGCTGAAGGAATTGAAGAATCTGCAGCAGCAGTACTTACAGATTAACCAAGAGATCCCTGAGTTACGTCCACTGAAGGCCCAACTTCAGGAGTATCAAGATAAAACAAAAACATTCCAGATCATGCAAGAAGAGCTCAGGCAGGAACACCTCTCCTGGCAACATGAGCTGCATCAGCTCAGGTATGATAAGCCCTCTTGACCCTTTTCTTCTTTTCTTTTTTTGCTTTTTATTTTGAAATAGATTCACAGGAAGTTGCAAAAATTATACAGAGATTCTGTGAACTCTTCACGCAGTTTCCTCCAATGGTAACATCTTATATAACTACACTACAGTAGCAAAACCAGGAAATTGATATTGGTGCATTCCACAGACCTTATTCAGATTTCACCAATTTTACATGCACTCATTTGAGTATGTGTGGGGTATGTAGGAGACAGAAAGAAAAACCAGGAACTCATCACCATGTCATTCCTTGATTGCCAGGGCCCCTAGCTTATCTGCCTTCTTCTCTGTACCTTTCTGAGTCTTATGTTTGTTTTATGTATAATGCCCATGGTTTTTATCTATTCTTAGTGGGAGCAATAAGGAGAAATACGTGTACTCTATCTTGTCTGGAACCTGAAGTCCCAACCTTTTTCTTTTTTAAGAAACAGATCAATAACAGTGCTATATGGTACTGTCATGACAGGAAAAAAATTGAGATAGGAACTGTAATTCTGGTTTGTGTGTGTGTGTTTCTAATAAATTTTTTTCCAAAGAGAAAAAGAATAAACCCTTAACAATATATAAAAAAACAGGCCCTCTTGTTACAACCTCATTGTTGGGATTTTATTACTGTTTGACTTAAGATGGTGCGTGCTACCCTCATAGAATCAATCTAAAGCTTTTAAGGTTTGGTACTGAAAGGAGAATCTCCGTGATGGAAGGTGCTGCTGATCAAGTAGCACCTGCTTTGTCTCTTCAACTCTTCAAATGCCAGAGGACAACAAAAGACAAAGAATACGGAGACTATGAGGTGAAGTCTGGATTCCTATCCGGTTTACAAAGGGCTGCTGAGATGACAAATACTAATATAGTATAAATAAGCATAAGAGAGTTCTCAATGTTCAGACACAGGAAGTTTATTCCTTTACAGATCCTAGATGGGTATGCACGATGGATGGATGGATGGATGGATGGACGGACGGACGGACGGATGGACGGATGGGTGGACAGACATATGGGCGTCAAGTCTACTCTTGACTCACTGCAACCTTATGTACAACAGAATGAAATGTTGCCTGCTCCTGTGTCCTCCTCACAGTAGCTGATGTGTTCTAGTCCATTGTTGTGGCTCTTGTGCCAGTCCATCTCACCAAGGACCTCCCTCACCCTCCCTGCACTTCTCCAAACATTATGTCCTCCTGCAGCTGTTGATCCCTCCTGATAATGTGTCCAAAGCAAGTGGGTGGGACAGTATTCTGTTGTGATCCGTAAGATTTTCTTTGGCCAGTTTTCAGAAGTAGATCACCAGGCCTTTATTCCTAGTCTTTCTTAGTCTGGAAGGTCTGCTGAAATCATGGTTGACCCTGCTGGTGTTGGAAATACCAGTGGCATAGCTTTCAGCATCACAGCATCATACAAGCCACCACAGTACGAAAAACTGACAGGCGGGTGGTGTTATGCCCTTTTTTAACATGATATTTCAGAATACACCTTAAGCAAAGTTTATAAAACAGACTGCCTTTTAGAATCTAGTAATTTAAAGTTTATAGAGTAAAATTTACATCCAAAAAATTTTATATTTAATATCTTATGAACTTGCTTAAAAGTCAAAATACATCAAGCTCATTGCAAGGAGTTGACAGCTTCCCCAAATAACACAAGAGCACTTTTTTTTTTTTGACCAAATGGTGAAGATTGCAGAGATTAAAAATACTGAGTTTTACTCTCAGGGGATAGAAATCTCTTCTACTTCTTTCAGGAACTGAAGCTCAAGAGGAAAAATTAATCATTCCATTTCAACCTCATCATTTTTTTTTTTTTTAATCAGGGAGATAGTTACTTCAGTTTTATTCTGCTAGAATTCATTTCATCATCAGGAGATTAGCCACTCAGCATGTCCTAGCAAATCACATTAGTGCTGACCATTGAATTTAGGGCCCTCCAAAGGTGACTGGGACCACATCGGAGCATCACCTTGATGTCTCCCATATTGTCTTCAGACTACCTTGAATTTTGAAAATATTAAGTGTTCCACTACTAGTTAGTATAAACCTAAGAAGAGCTGCAAAGCTGCAAAGCCTTATTTCCTGCTGCCACTTGTTCCTCTGTAAATTTTCCTCAAAGGGCAACCTGAAAGGCTAATTTCCTTATAGATAAGGCTGACCCTCAGGAAAGAGAAAAAGAAAGAGGAGAAAAAAATGATTTCTTGTCTATTGATTTTTTCTCCCCTCATTTTCTCTCTTTCCACCTTTCTCTTGGCCTTTCTTTCTTTACCTTCTACACTGTAGCAGCTTTGAAGATAAGTAAAATTATATACCAAGTGGATGTGAGTAAATTACAAGAAGGAAAGGGGAACATTTTACTTCACTTTTAGAAAAGGAAAGACATAGATTTACTTCACTGATTTTAGGACCAACTTCTTTATCTGACTGTCTTTAAGACTCCCTGCCGTTTGCTCTTGAAATACATGGGAGAAATGAGCTCTTCAAACATGAAGAAGCTGGAACATCTCATTCAAGATTCTATCGACCTTGTGATTATCTTATCAGTAGAGCCTGGATTTATATCATAAGCTTTCTCTTCCACTTGTGGTTACCTCCTGTGCTCTCTTGCTTGAGGGAATAAATGAGGTATAACCTTCCCTCTGGCTGACTTCCATTAAGTAATTGGGTTTGTTCTTTAGCCCCCATTCTCCATTGAGGGGCTCCTTCCGTACCATAACCACTTGTGTATTCTTCCCCCAAAATAGCAGCTTGAATTTTTTTATGAAAGGTTATGATCTTTCTCATGCACTCCCTTGCACCCACTCTTTCTTGTTCTCGCTCGCTTTTCAGAGACAAATAGTTCAAAGAAAGTGTTTTAGAAACATCCCTGTGCCTTTTGCACATTGTAGCCTTGTAATAAAAACCTGTTTTAGTTTCTAAGAGTTAATTCTGCATGTTTGAAAAAAAAATCGAAGTAACAGTACCTGTGACTGTAATCCAAGCCACGTCTGAGCACAACAGGATGATTTCCTAATGGGTGTGTGTCAGTTAGAAAAGAAGGGATATCCTGCCTTATTTCTAGAGAGAAAGACAAAAAGGTCAGAGGTGAGTCAAACAAACTTCGTACTTTCTGGAAAAATAGAGACATTGGTGCTACTGTAAGTGAAAAAATGCTGCAGACATTTGATTTCAGCCCTGATTGTTTCAGAATGTGGTGTAAGGAGAAGTAGGCCTGAAGAACAATGGCAGAGGCAGTTTCTGCTAGTTCAAAAGGAAGTTAACTGGCGTCAAAGAGAAGCCTTCCTCTTGACTAGATTCAAAGAATAAGTAAATAGAAATAACAACAGCTAATTGAGTGTTTACTAAGTGCCAGGCTCTATGTTTGTGTGACATATAGTATTCATTTAATTTTCACAATAATCCTAATGAGTAGATTGTTTATTCTCATTTTACTGTTGAGGCTCAAAGAGCTTAATTAACTAACTTTTACTCAGGATCTCACACCTACTGTATGATAATAGCCAGCATTCAAGCCTAGATCCTTCAGACTCTAGAGCTTCATTCCCACAGGCTTGGTGTTTATACATATCGAGACACTGCCCTTCTGAAAAATTGACAGTCATTCCCCATTGCTTACAGAGGAAGCGTTTAATGCCCCTTATGATCTGACCTTATTCCTCTCCACCCTCATTTCCCACCATATCCGCTCACTGGCTGTCTACAACCATTCTAAAACTCATCATATACATTCATACAAACTGAGCCTTTTGCTCAGTTTGTTCCCTGAACCTGGACTGCTTCTCCCCTTATGGATGCCCTACTGGGTTCAGCCAAATGCCAGCTTTTCATGAAGTACTGTCTGTACTCAGTCCTGCCAGTTAAATTTTTTTTTTTCTTTTGCTCCATCGTCTTACTGCACAATTCTGTTTATAAGTTTCACTCTGATTACATACTTTCTTTACTACAACTCTTCTGCCCATAATAGTGCTTTGCATATGGAATTTTTCACCTTGGCCTCACAAGTGTATTTTTTCCTGAGATTCTTTTATGTTTTTTGTAGGATGGAGAAGAGTTCTTGGGAAGTACATGAGAGGAGGATGAAGGAGCAGTACCTTATGGCTCTCTCAGATAAGGATCAGCAGCTCAATCATCTGCAGAACCTTATGAGGGAACTGAGGGCTTCTTCCTCCCAGACTCAGAACCTCAAAGTGCAATACCAAAGACAGGTAAGTAATTTCAATGCTGATTGCTTCTCACAGGTCCCTACTATCCAGGAAACACCAGCCCCTGCAGGTGCCCACCTGCCACTATTAGACAAGTCATCTAATTAACTTCTGTGGGGGCGACAGGGTTTGTCCAGGGGAGAAATTAAGCGTGATAAATATTAGAGGGAGTTTCACCAGTGCTTGTATCCTGGCAGGCATCCCCAGAGACACCAACTTCCCTAGATGGGTCACAAAACCTGGTTTATGAGACAGAACTTCTCAAGACCCAGCTCAATGACAGTTTAAAGGAAATTCACCAAAAGGAATTAAGAATTCAGCAACTGAACAGCAAGGTAAGTGTCCCTGCTAGACTAGAACTCAATTTCTTATTTATGACTGGAGACAAAAAGATGAGTAGAAGCTGATTTCAGCTAGACACCAGCTGTAGCATACCTTAAGGTATAGATTATTTATCTTTTTCAGAACTTGAGTTGTTCTCCCCAAAATGCTAAACATAGGGTCATTCCCTTTCCTTGCCCTTTGAGAGCCTTTGGGAATGATTTGGAGAAGTCTGGAGTATAAGAGTAAGAAGCCAACTCCTTTGGAAAGCCATCCTTCCCAGCATTGCTGCCCATTGCTTGGGTCAAGAAAACTTCCCTGAGTCTCCCAACAAGCCCCTCTATATTTCCCACCTGCGTGCAACAGGTAAGAGTCTTAGGAAGGAAGAGGGAAGCTTTTCAGGTCTGGTTAGGTAATGGGTAGAGTTGAGACATCTGTTCTTCATTTCGCTCCATTTGTAGGCTTCCTCATTGAGTGGATCTAAGGAAGCCAGTTTTCTTTTTTCCAAACCCCAGCCTTGCCTCTCCAGACACTCTAGGAAAGCATGCTGGAGTAGATGGCAGCTATTTCTAAAGGAAGAGCCACTTTGACATCAAGATTAAAGAAAATTATTCTTGGATGCCTTTTCACATCTCTGTCTTCACTTTTCTTTCATTCTTTGGCTTCTCCTCCTTCTTCACCGACACTCTACTGAATCAGTATCCTCCTATTGCCCTCTCACTATTCAGAGTATTCGGCAGTTGTGTCTCTCCTACTTCTGCCCTTTTTAATGGAACCAGCTAGGTAGTTCACGTTAGAAGTAAAAGGGACTTAAGAAATCAGTCAGACTGGAGTTCAAAGATTGGCTTTGAGAGAGCTGTGAATGTCCAGAAATTACTTGTAAAATGTCGCATGTGTATACAAGTTTCTCATGAGTTCATCCAAAAATGATAAAGATCAGTAGATTGTTTTCATAGAGATATTAAGACCCAGAGGTATTAAATAACTTGCCTAAGATTATTATTAGGAGGAGGTCAGCCTGAGGTAGATTTGGTAATGCATGTGGAAAAGCACAGTTCCTGACATATGTAGAAATTTCTTATTAAATGTTATTAAATTCAGCTGACACTAAAATGTCAGAGACTGATAGCATTAATAACGTTGGCAGAGAAATTTGTATTTTTTAAGGTTTGTTGATCCAAATGAATTGCTAATTGGTAAAATTCCAGACCCTTTGTTGGGGAATTTGTCCAGGAATTTTCAGAGGGGTTCCAGAGCAATGCCCAGCCAGTTCCCCTCCCAGCTAGTTGGCCATTTCCAGAAAATTCTACCCTTGATGGCTCCTGTAGCCCACCTTTTTTCTGTAAACTAAGTGACATCACAGCCCTGTTACCTTCATTCTCCTGAACTTTAGATGGTGAATCACTCTGGGCATTTGCCTTTCTGGGACTGTGTTTTAAACTGCAATTCTGGACTATTAGTAGATAAAGAAGTCTTAATATAAATGTTTTATTGACGTAACATACAGGAAAGGTACACAAATCATAAGGATAGCATGGTGTATTTTCTCCAAGTGAAGACACCTGTGTAACCAGCACTAGTTAAGAACCAGAACATTTCCACAACCCTAGATGTTCCTGTGTCCTCTTCTATACTCTACCACCCGCTTTGAGCACATATAAATGGAATCATGTCTTCTCTTTTGTGTTGCTTCATTTAGTCAGATTCATCCCCATTGCTTATAGTTTTAATTTTTCCATTCTCATGCTATATAATATTGCATTTTGGGATTTACCATAATTTCTCTATTCTACTGTTGAAGGATGTTTGTTTTTTTTCAGTTTGGGGCTAGTACAAAGAGTGCAACCAGTGTTTTTTACAAAACACAATAAGATATTGAAAATATCAGAGCATATGTAATAAAATAAAACCCGTCTGGAAGAAGTACATCCAGAATGTCCCTTAGAAGCAAGAATGGCAGGACTACTCTCACATACTTTGGGCATGTTGTCAGGAGGGATCAGTCCCTGGAGAGGGACATCACGGTTGGTAAAGTAGAGGGCCAGCAAAAAAGAGGAAGACCCGCAATGAGATGGATTGACATAGGGGCTGCAACAATGGGCTTAAGCATAACAACGATTATGAGGATGGCGCAGGACCGGGCAGTGTTTTGTTCTGTTGTACGTAGGGTCGCTAGGAGTCGGAACTGACTCGATGGCACCTACCAACAACAACAACATGTAATAAAGTATATGTCTTGTTTTGAGAAAATTTAGTTTTCAGTTATTTATATTTATGTACTGGGTTCTGGGTTGTGTGTGTTTTTAATAGCTTTATTGAGATATAATTCACATATCACATACTAAAAGTTTGAGAAACACTGGTTTAGGTCACTTGTCATTCTGGGTGAGAAACAATTCTTCCTTTAGATATCAACTGTAAGAAAAGTGTCTCCATCCCTAGCCTCATTCACTCATTCATTGAACAAATAACTGTTATTTGCCCTCTATGAGTCCTGCCGTACAGGATACACATGGCCCCTCATGAAGCTCACAACCCAGTGAACTTAGAACCTCACACTAACTGAGTGCCAGCTAGGAGAATTGCTTCTTGGGCCCTAGAATGAGATCACAGTAGATAGGTTGTCAGCATACAATGACTCCTCCCCAAGCCACTGCCCTGATTCTTTCCTCAGATGCTCAGACTTTATATAGAATTTCTACCAGCGTGGTTGGATATTAGTGTGTAATGCAAGGAATATGCTAGAAACTTAAAAACCCAAGAGGAGTAATTATTAGGTATAATACAGTTAGATTGTTTCCTTCTATTTCGTTTATGTTGTTAGCTGCCACTGAGTTGACACCCCAACTAATGGCAACCATGTGCACAACAGAAGGAAATACTGCCCAGTCCTGTGCTGTCCCCATGGTAGGATCAGACCGTTGTGGTTCATAGGGTTATTATTATTATTCTTTAATTTTATTGTTGTTGAGAATATACACAGAAAAACATATACCAATTCAACAGTTTCTACATGTACAGCTCAGTGACACTGGTTATATTCTTCGAGTTGGATCCATAGGGTTTTCATTGGCTAATTTTTTGAAGTAGATTTCCAGGCCTTTCTTCCTAGTCAGTCTTAGTCCGGAAGTTCTGTGTCATGGCAACACACAAACCTCCACTGACAGACCGGTGATGGCTGTGCATGAGGTGCATTGACCAGGAGTTGAACTCAGGACTCCCACAGAGAAGGCGAGAATTCTACCACTGGACCACCATCATGCCATTCCTATTTTTCAAGTGCATATACAATGAAATACAATAGCTTATTAGAATGAGGATCAGCAAACTGTTTCTTAAAGGCCCAGATGGCAAATATTTATGGCTTGCTGGCCTTTTGGTCTCTGTCGCAACTATTCAACTCTGTAGTTGTAGCACAAAAGCAGTCAGACAATATATAAACGAATGGGCGTGGCTGCGTTCCAGTAAAGCCTTAGTTACAAAAACAAGCAGTAGGCCCCTATCGTAGTTTGCCAATCCCCAAGCTAGAGGGACTTGTGTTTATCTTAGACAAAATAATGCAAACATTACAAAAGGTGACTGGCTTATTATAAGCAATTAGACTTCTCTAGTTAAAGGTGTTTCTGCTTGCAGTGCGTTTTACAAGTCTGCCCTTTCTCTTGTAGGATATGCTAAGGAAAAACTTTTAGGATTTTTTTTCAGCACTAAGGGATATTTGGTTTGGTTTGGTTTGGTTTTGTATGGCTTAGGCTATTCATCATGACCAGGAGAATTAACTTCCTTCCTGTGTTAGGAGGGAATCATGTTATTCCTCATCTCAGAACCCAGGAGTTGTCATTATGCCCAGCTACCTCTGTCTGCAAATTAGTTTTGTTTCTCAAGGCCCTTTACTAAACACTCCCCACCCCCCAGAAAACCCCACAACTTGCTTAACTTCCCGGAATAGGATATGGTCAGGTAGTAGATAGAGCTATAGCCTTGGGATCAAGAACTGTGCTCAGTGCTGCATCTGTTAGCCACATGGCGTCAGGCACGTCACTGCTCCTCATTTATCTCTCCCTTTTTTTTTTGTTTGTTTGTTTATTTTTCATTTGTAGACAGGGACAGAAGTCCTTTTCCTGCCTTTCAAATAAGGCGATACTTGTGGAAATGCTTTATAAACTAAAAATTGCTCTTCAGATGTAAGGTGGTTTTTTTGTGCTTTTCATTCTGGTTGTGCAAATAGTTTTACCATGTGGGTTTTCATGTTCTAATTTTCTGAACACATCAAATGTCCTTTCCCAGAGTATCTCTAGAACACTATTTGTCTTCTCTAAAACATCATTTGACTCAACTTTTATACACAAATGTTCACCCCAGAGTACTCATAAGAAAAAGTACTCAAGGAAAAGGCCAAATATGCAGCCAGGTACACCAGTGTTTTCTCATACAATGTATGTCATCTTTGGAGAGACAACTCTGTTGTTGTTAATGTATCTGGGTGTTAATCATAACTAAATTTAAAAACTTGACAGCCTGTGATAGAGGAATTAGAATTATAGTTCCAGAGGACTGAAGTCACATCAATGAGTGGAAGCTACAATGGGTAGATTTTTTTTCAATATAAAAGATAATCCTCTGGTTTTGACATGGTAAAAATGGCTCGGGCTACTTTTTCAGGTAGTGAGCTCCCTGACACTGACCATGTTCAAGGAAAGACTGACTGACTACACGTCATTCATGCAGCAGAGGAGAATCCTGCTTTCAGTGACTGTACATGTGTTTTCCACCTGAGAGCCTGTGCTTCCAATATAGTTTCTTACGTGTACGTAGGCCTGTTAGCATTTAGTCTGTTTCTCTCTCCAACCATGTATTCAAATTTTGGTTTATTCTACTCTCTCGGTAACTTGTAACTCTATGGCATTGAGGAATCTGCCCAGTAATGTTATTGTTTGAGCTCTGGTGATTATAGTCACTTGTTAATAACTTAAACTTGGAGCCAAGTTACTCTCTTCCTCCTCTTATATATCTGGGATAGGCTATCCTGTTAGATCGCTTGCTTCCTGGTTTTTCAGTCAATGTACTGGACACCATGTAAAAAAGTTTCCTGCTACTCCTCTAGAATTATTTTCCTTTCTCAGCTGAAAAACTTCTGAGTTTCCTTATTTTCAAGGAACCACAGTGCTGTTGTTGCTACTATTGAGATAAAGATCCTTTCTAAAAAACATTCGATCCCGAAAACTCAGGACGGTTAGCCTAAGCTCTTCGCGCTTGGTGTGAAGCAGTTCTGTAGGATGGTGCTTATCCTCTCCTCTCTGTTTCAGTTCTCTCAGCTGCTCGAAGAGAAAAATACCCTTTCAGTTCAGCTCTGCGATACTAGTCAGAGTCTTCGTGAGAGCCAGCAGCACTACAGTGACCTGTATAATCACTGTGCAGTTTTGGAGAAGCAGGTTCAATTGCTGCAGGCGGTAAGAAGATGAGAGGCTGGGAAAAGTGTAATGAAATTGAGCACAAGTGATAACGCATAAAGAACACCATTGAAGAAGGTTCAGGCTGACGATTCGATGTGAGGGAAGAAAGTGGGAGAGAGCAAGAGAGCAGTAACTGAGCTGGGAATCAAAAACATCACAGAGTGAAAGGATTAGAAGAAAAATATCAGTGAGTTGGTGGGAGAGAAATCACACAGTGAGTGGAAAACAGTGGTGACAGGCGTTTAGGACTCTGAAACTAGACAGTGTTTGATTTTGCTTCAAGAAATAAATATGTAGGAAGGTATGGACCTGAGAAATCAAGGACGGCAGAGCTATTGATAGACTTGAATAGGCGTGCACTTGAAGTTGGAGGAGACTGAGGTTTAGTATGGAGATAAATTAGACTTGTAAGGAAGGAAGAGGAGGGGTTTAGGAGGGAATGTTGAGCAAGGGAAGGGCCAGAGTGGCTTCTGGAAATTCCTGAGCCTACACTAGAAGGCAGCAGACTTCATGGTGAGCCTTTAAACTTCTAAGAGGAGAGATTCAAGGATGAGAATCTGGAATAAAATCTCATCAAGGCAAGAGTTTTATGTAGAGAATTAATCTACATGCAAAGAGGATTCTCACCTTCTAAATCTGAGCTTGAGGAAAACTTTAATGGGGCTATTCCTCCTCAAGATTTTTCATTCTCGTCAGTGTTAAGTGAGTTTTCATTTTGCCCATGTACATTCCTTATAAGCTTTCATCACTGATTCACTGAGCTTATTCTTCTAGGGGCCACTCAATCTAGATGTTGCTCCAGGAGCTCCCCAGGAAAAGAATGGAGCTCACAGGAAGAGTTCTCCTGAGGAACTGAGGGAGCCACAGCTGAGGTAGGGGCAAGGACTCTCACCCTGGGCATGCTCTGCATATACAGAAATGTGGGCAGGAATCTAGGTGGAACTAGAGTCCACTGTGTGGATTTAATATGTCTTATTGTCTCCTTGGTCTCACAGAACTAATGTGAGGATTAAGTAGTACGTTACTAACACATTAATTGTGTGTGAAAAGCTTATAAAACAAAAACTCCAACACCAACACACCACTGCAATATTAAAATAAACATACTCGGTCAATCCCCAAAATCTCGTAAGACACTTTCTACAGCTTTATTTAATCTCCGTATGGCTATGCCTTGAAAATATCCTTTGTGTTCAGACCTGCTTCGATAAATTTTCCTGCTTTATAACCTTGTGAAGACCTCCTGAAGACTTGGAATCCCACCTCTCAGCAGCTGCATCCTGCATTTAGTGATGCTATGTGTTTGCCTTTTATCCGAAGCTTTTCTGAAGCCCAGCAGCAGCTGTGCAACACTAAACAGGAGGTGAGCGAGTTAAGGAAGCTGCTGGAAGAAGAGCGAGACCAAAGAGTGGCTGCTGAGACTGCGCTCTCCGTGGCCGAAGAGCAGATCAGGAGGTAAAGAGCTGAGGGAGAGAACCTGTTTTCACTTCCGATCATACGTGATGAATATGTACTGATGAACATTTCAGCTGCCAAACTTCCAACCTTATTTTTGTCTTGAGATGAATACTGTAGTGAGTTTAGGGTCATTGTGGTCACCCAAGAGAACACTGCACTTTGGGGTCCAGGAGGCCCTTACTTGCCAAAGCAGTCGTTCTTAGAGAGTAATAATAGTACCATTCTTTGACAGCTTATTTCTCATCTCGTAACGTCTACCTCACATGGTTCTTGTTGGGATAAAATATCTCTCTTAGCTTAATTCATGCTATGTGAAATAAGCTATGAAGGATACTGTAACCCAACAATAGCCATATGAGGTAGATGTTATGTTCTTTAGAAGGCCGAATAAATAGCAACCCCACCCTCTATCAGAGAAATGAATCAATTGAAAAAAATTTTTTAAAGATTGAAACATATGGGAGACTGAAAGATTACTTTATAAAGCTTATATGGAAAGAATGTGGCTTTTGATTCATTGGCAAATATGCTTCCTCACCCTGAACTCCCCCTTCGGGTCCCAGGCAATGTTGGTCCAGAACAGGCTTCCCTCCCTGGAGAAGAACCTGCCCTGTGAACACTAGAGCACTGGCGTAGCACAGCAGGTTGCACTTCCCATGAGCAGTTTGCTCCAAGAGCAGTCATGGAAGAGCAGAGCTACACTGCATCCCCAGCTCTTTACTCAGACTCACCAGTCAGGAGAATCACTGAGTGAGGAGGTGGAGAGTGGCTACACACATTTTACTGTTGGATGTCCCTTTATATGGAAAGAAGCATTAAAAGCAAGTCTGAACTTTTACCATATTCAGGAAGAAAAGCCACTATGTAATACTGGCTCTTCCTCAGAGAGTGGCATTGTGATATTAATACCTTCTTGCAAAGTTTAGAAATGCGCAGAGGTGGCAGCCTAGTCACCTCAGATCTATACCTTATCTGGGATACATTCCTTCCCCATGCAGCATAGTCACCACTTTGTACTATTCATCCCCTTTTGGGCCTTGTTGTGCATCTTTGAGGGTGGCCTCTGCAGGGACGCAGCACAGACTTCACCATCTCTGCTGAGTGTTCTCAGGCCCGTGCACCAGTGGCTGTTCTGCCGCCACTTGGAATTGTTTAGACCCGTGAAACCTGACCCTTTGGGAAGCTATCCCCCTTGTATAATTATCTGTCCCAGGCCAGCTTGAGACTGCATAGAGAGGGATGACTCCCTAGCCTGTGGACGAGCCACATTAAGCCATGTTAAGCCACGTTAATCTGTGGTTAGCCTCTGCACAGCTCCCTTTTGGCGCTGATGCAGAGTGGACATTAGGGAGGCGACTCCAGTGCTGCCTACCTAGGCCTGGTTCTGACATTTAATGTTAGAACCATATGCAGAACTCAGTAGCCTCACTTTAAAAGCAGCCCATACTGTTCTTTGCGCCACCACCTACAAACAGTTCATCCTCAGGCTGGCCTACAGAAGTTGACAGACTTACCCATACACAGTGAAACTTGTGAGAGCCAGAACTCGACAAGACTGCCTTGTGTTTCCAGGTCTCACAAGTTTTCTGCCTTTGACAGAGTACGGTCTTACCACTTTTCTGTCGCTCTCTATTAGTAGAAAATATTTGAGTTTCCGTCTCTGACAGGTTTCCACCTTCCACAAGTTCCGGCTTTTGCAGATTTTACTGTAGTAAGAGACCATGCTGAACCAGATCAAGGCTTCCCCTGAGAAGCTTATCACATGGAGGAACAGACACAGAAAGTGTACTCTGCAGCCAGCCCAGCTTTCAAGAGGAAGAGAGTGGGGAAGGAGCTAGGCTGTGCACACTCAGTTCTCTTTCTGAATGTGCACATCAGATTAAGGTATTCCTTTTCTCCTGGAGAAAAGTGTGTGGTCTGCAAAGAGAGGCCAGGAATATCAGGCTAACGGATATGCCTTCAATGGAAGAAATATCCGTAGAGCTCCGCTCTCTCCACCTCACTTAAAGAGTGTGTCCCTACAGGCAAATGTGCCGTCAGATGTGCCATGTTACCTGCATCTCCTTCCTTTGTTACAGTTCGTATTTTTGTGAGAAGCCATTGAGAGGATAAAGGCAGCTAGTTAAAAGGAGAAATTCATTAAATGGAGAAGTTCCAGCATTAAATAAATAGGCAAATTGACACAAAAATGGAGCAGGAAGCAGTAAAGACTGCTAACGGTTCAGTTTACTTCTACGGACCTCATGGAAGTCTTTCTTGGATGCTTTTGCCTATTAGTCTTTAATAAATTTTTTTTAAAAAAAATTTTAAATGAGTTTCTCTGAGGTGTGTTCTAGTGGGAGTAAAAGAGCATGGGGTTTAGAGACTAGCCTGGGTTTTGAATACTGGCTCTACCTCTTAACCAGCTGTGCCAGCATAAGCCAGTAGTCTAACCTCTGCATGCCATGCTTTGAAGATTACAACACCAGCCTCAAAACCTGAGAATTAAATATGTGTGAAGCACTCAGTCTGGCACCTGATGGGTAGGAGGCAGTCAATTCATGGTGGTTATTACCACCTTTTACTGCTGTTGGAAAAAACCTGCCTGCCTGTAGACGCAGGAGGGCAGGGATTGGGTAGCAGCCTTAGCTAGGAGTCCACGGAGCTGTGTCACCCGGCACGATGGCTGGGAGGACTTCACCTGACCTGCCCCTCTCTCACACTCGTGAACCAATGCCAGGCATCTTTTTTCTCAACACAGGTTGGAGCACAGCGAGTGGGACTCTGTCCGGACTCCTATCATTGGCTCCTGTGGTACCCAGGAACAGGCGATATTAATAGACCTTACAAGCAGCGGTTGTCGAAGGGTAAGAAGAGAAGAAAGGTCAAGAGAGGGGGCTATGCTATTGGATAGGGCTGGCTGAATTGAGGGCAGGAGTCAGGGAGAGGGAATGTGGAAATCCTGTTGGTGAGTAGCTGACGGGTCTAAGACTGGAAGAGTATGGAAGGTTGGGGGAACCTGGTGGAATTTGCCAAACCATCGACCCTGAGAGACCTTTCTCCCAGGATACCCTATTCTGCACTGCTTTGATCAGTGTTGCTTAAATGGGAGACGACTGGGGAAGGGGAAGGGCCATATCCATAGAGGGGGAAACTCTCTGATGTTCAGATTTTTCTTTCAGACGCGGAGTGGTGCTGGATGGAAGCGAGTCCTGCGTTCGCTCTGTCATTCCCGTACCCGAGTGCCACTGCTAGCAGCCATCTACTTTTTGATGGTTCATGTCCTACTCATTCTGTGCTTCACCGGCCATTTATAAACCTAGTTGTCACCTTTTGGACCCCTCACCTAAGAACTTGGCTTTCTCTCACCCCTAATGTCAGAACCATCGATTCCAAAGGAACAGTGTTTCCACTTCCAGGCCAACTTTCTGACTCTTCATGGAAAATGTCTGCAAAAGCAGAGGTGATATGTGCACATGTTGGAGATGCAGAGACCAGCAAGCAAGTCTGTTTTCTTCTGCTGCCCAGGGCCTGAACACATCTGCATAATCTGAGGAGACCCCACAGTTGGTTTGTTGAGCCCAGTATTTGTTCAGATTTTGCAGGGCTCTGATCATCTTTTATGGTCCTGTTTGATGCTGAGGGGTATCCTTCAGCCAGGAGGATGGTTCCAATAAACCTAATAATCTGAAGTCCAGTATCATTTTGATTGATACTTTCTTTGCCTCATTTGACTCTATTTTCTTCTGCTTCATTGGGAAGATGGTGCTGCCATAAACAGATTTCTGGGGAATGAACACACCACCTCACAGGACATCTGACTGGGCCTCTTGCAGAGCAGGGTGGGAGCTGAAGAACTCCCCAGGGCCTATCTTTTAGCTGTTGGGTCCCAGGGGAGGGCGTATCTGGAATGAGAATGTGTGACTGTGGGCTGTAAGGATAAGATCCTGTGGCCAGTGCCCCTAGTCTCATACATAAAAGGTGTTAAGTGACCCATGCCTTTCACTGAAAGAACTGGCTGTGGACGGTGTGGCTCAGATTCCTGTCATTCCTGTCTTATCTGGACATGCCTTGAATGTGCACCCTGAGACAGTGCCTGGGGGCCAACAGGAGCCGGCCTAGGTGAGTCATTGAGCCCCAGCCAGGGAGTGTCTGACCAGGGGTCACACTGCCACTCCTGGCTTCTTTGTGGTTGGTGGCGGTTATTCCAGTTTCTCAGCCCCATACTCATCTGCCTTCTGTGGTAACAGAGGGCTGAGACAAATGTAAGGAGAATATAGGGAAGATGAGATATTTAAATCTAGGCCTGAGAATGACAGCCAAGATCGAATTCCAGTTGTGCCTATTCCCTGCCCCCAACCCCGCCACCCTTGCCCATTAGTTATTTTTCGTTACGCACATGATGGGTCTCCTGCCTGCTCGCACCACCCAAAGAAGAGAGAAGACTGGTGGACTGGCCGTTCTGCTGTAATCCTTTGTCCTCTGGTGACCAAGTCTTGCTCACAGCATCTCAGGAATATTCCTGAAGAACTGTAACATAATAAAAGTATTTTCAGAATGAAGAATTGCGGTGGTGTGTGCATGTGTGTGAATGTATGTGTACATGGGTACTTGTATACGAATGTTTGCACGCTGGGGAAGGAAGGCACGTAGGACAAGTAGGTGGGGGTGGAGTAGCTCGGAATGGATACAGGGGTAGAAAGCTCGACACGCTCAGGCCTCCTCACTGGCCAACATCAGTAATAGCTGCATGTTGTCCTTCCAGCCTTAGCCACTAGAGCCCAGAGTGATTAGGTGGAGTGAGGAAATCTCATCCTGCCACTGAACCAACAAGGCTGGGCCTTAGTGCACGAGCTTCACGAAGCATTAGAGCAGAGAATATGCAGGGGATGTCTTGGGAGAACTCTTGTCTGGTACATAACAGAAAACATTAGGCCTTTACAGATCCCTCTGGGTTGGAGTGGAGAAAGGGAGCTCTAATAGCATATAGCTGATTGTTGTTGTTAGGTGCCGTTGAGTCAGTCCCAACTTATAGCGACCCTATGTACAGCAGAAGACAATACTGCCCGCTCCTGTGCCATCCTCGCAATCATTGCTACGTTTGAGCCCATCAGTGCAGCCACTGTGTCAATATATCTCATTGAGGGTCTTCGTCTTTTTCACTGACCCTCTACTAAGCATGATGTCTTTCTCCAGGGACTCAGGGACTAGTCCCTCCTGGTAACATGTCCAAGTATGTGTGATAAAGTCTCACCATCCTTCTTTCTAAGGAGCATCCTGGCTGTACTTCCTCTAAGATTTGTTCTTCTGACGGTCCATGGTATATTCAGTATTCTTCACCAACTCCATAATTCAAAGACATCAATTCTTCTTCGGTCTTCTTTATTCATTGCCTGGCTTTCGCATGCATACGAAGTGATTGAAAACACCATGGCTTGGGCCAGGCCCACTTTAGTCCTTAAAGTGACATCTTTGCTTTTTAGCACTTTAAAGAGGTCTTTTGCAACAGATTTGCCCAATGCAATACATCATTTCATTTCTTGACTGCTGCTACCATGGATGTTGATTGTGGGTCCAAGTAAAATGAAATCCTTGACAACTTCAACGTTTTCTCCGTTTTTCGTGATATTGATTATTGATCCAGTTGGCATTATGTTTTTAGGTCCCAGGTTTGCACTTGGCTACTAAACCGAAAGATTGGCGATTAGAATCCATCCAGTGGCCCCTCAGATGAAAGGCTTGGTGATCTACTTCTGTAAAATTTGAAACAAAAACCAAACCTGTTGTCATTGAGTCGATTCCGACTCATGGCGACCTCATGTTACAGAGTAGAACTGCTCCATAGGGTGTTCTTGGCTATCATCTTTACGGAAGCCGACTGCCAGGCCTTCCGTGGCACCTCTGAGTAGATAGGAACCACAAATCTTTAAGTTAGTAGTTGAGAGCAAACTGTTTGTGCCACCTAGGGGCCACCTGTAAGTTTACAGCCACTGAAAACCCTATGGAGGGCAGTTCTACTCTGATACATACAGGATCACCATTGGTCAAAATGGACTCAACACAACAGGTTTGGTTTATTTATTTTTGAATATTTTATTGTGTTTTAGGTGAAAGTTTACACAGCAAATTAGATTTCCATACAACAATTCATACACAAATTGTTCTGTGACATTGGTTACAATCCCCACAATGTGTTAGGACTCTCCCCATTTCCACCACGCCTAACCCGTTTCCATCCATCCAGTTTCCCTGCCCTTCCCTGCCTTCTCATCTTCGCTTTTGTGTAGATGTTGACCATTTGGTCTCCTAGAGTTGATTGTGTAAAGCAGCACATTCTTCACAGGTGTTACTGTTTATTTTGTAGGCCAGTTTATTATTTGGCTGAGAAGTGACCTTTGTGAGTGGCTTCAGTTCCGGGTTAAAAGGGTATCTTAGGGCAATAGTCTCAAGGGCTAGGTTTGGTTTTGGTATTATATTTTCATATTAAGTTGCTGCTTGAGAAAACCTGACATACTTTTTCAAGATAAAATAAGTGGCTTAATTGAACTGAGTCTATGTGACTTCCAAACCCATGCTATTTCTATGTGCCACTGCCTCTCAGAAATGAGCTTGGGGCATTTGCTAAGGGGTTGTGGGGCTTCTTGGTGTCATCTCCGATTAAATTCTAAGGTTCCTCTAGAAAACTGTGTACCTGGATCGTGTGTCAAATATCTGATCTGATAATTCCTACTTTTGACCTAAGAATTCCAAATCATCTCAGTTTTTTTTTTTTGTTTTTTATTTCTACAAATGTATTCTTCCTTAAAATAACTTTGGTCCTGCTCTGATAAATAGGTCATGAAGTAGGAGAGATCAATAAATAAAACTCTTCTCGGCATAGAATCCTTAGATTTAGAAGTGGCCTTATTGTTGTTGTGTAACCTCGAGCCCATTTCAACTCATAGCAACACTGTAGGACAGAGAAGAACTGCCCCATAGGGTTTCCAAGGCTGTAATCTTTACAGAAGGAGCTATGGTGGTACAGTAGTTAAGTACTCGGCTGCTAACTGAAAGGTCAGCAGTTCGAACCCAGTAGTCTCTCCATGGGAGAAAGATGTGGCAGTCTGCTTCCATAAAGATTACAGCTTTGGAAACCAAGTGGGGTAGTTCTACCCTGTCCTATAAGGTCGCTTTTAGGTGGAATCAACTGGATGGCAAGGGATTTGGTTTTTCTAATGGGTTTAATCTTTACAGAAGCAAACCACCACATCTTTCTCCCACAGAGCAGCTGGTGGGTTCAGACTGCTGACCTTTTGGTTAGTGGTTGCATCATCCTCACTTGGGGACCCAGGCTGCCAGAGGAGCCACTCTGGAGAATTGCGTGTTGCATGGCAAAGCTTGTGCTGGTCTTAAAAGTCGCCCCAGAAAGTGATGTTCCTCCGTTCTCACATCTCACTGGCCAGAATGAGTCACCTGACTAAGTCTGACTTCAAGAAGGAAGGGAGGGGCAGCAAATCTTGATGAGCAGTAACACAGAATACCACAAAGACTGTCTATCATCTGGTACCACTTGGTTCTTTCAGACTTCCTACTATCTGGAACCAAATCTTTTTTACCAGTTAGCTCAGATACCTCACTCTTGCAAACAAGCTATGAACCTTTCTGCCTCCATGTCTTGCCTTTCCCCGACAAGTTTTTCCCTCATTATTTCATTGAATGCATCAATGTTTTTTGGACATGTAAACCCCAGTTGTCTTAGTCATCTAGTGCTGCTATAACAGAAATACCACAAGTGGATGGCTTTAACAAAGAGAAATTTATTCTCTCACAGTCCAGTAAACTAGAAGTCTGAATTCAGGGCGCCGGCTCCAGGGGAAGGCTTTCTCTCTCTGTCGGCTCTGGAGCAAGGTCCTTGACATCACTCTCCCCTTGGTCTAGGAGCATCTCAGCACAGGAATCTCAGGTCCAAAGGATGTATGTACTCTGCTCCCCGCACTACTTTCTTGGTCCACTATTCCATCTTACTACATCATAGTGATAGAATATACAACACATAAGGAAATCAATCATACAATCATGACCACGCCAAGTTGACAGATATTTTCGGAGGACACAATTCAATCCATGACACCAGTTTTAAGTGCTGTGAGCAACGTAGAAGTAGAGTTTCTTTTCAATCTTACCCTTCAAGATCTACATAAAATCACCTTTCTCTCTAAGAATTTCTTGATCACTACAGCCTATCCCGGAGTCCCTGGGGGGTGAAAATGGTTAATATGCTTGGCTGCTAACCGAAAGGTTGAAGGTTTGAGTCTACCCAGAGGCTCCTTGGAAGAATGACCTGGCAATCTACTGCCAAAAAAAAAAAAAAAACAAAAAAAACCCAGCAATTGAAAATCCTGTGGAGCACAGCTCTACTGTGGCATGCACGGGGTTGCCATGAGTTGGAACAGCCCATCGCAAATTCTTCTCTGAATTCCTTTACTACAACAGATGCAACTGCCCATCACATTTAGGACACATATGCAGTCCTATAGCATTCTTCTTATGTTTTCTGGTTGAATGTTTTGCTTTCCTGACTAGACTATAAATGCTGAGTAAAAGCAGCATTTTCTATCACTTCCTCATGCTCCTCAAAGCTTGCAAAAGAGTAACCACAGAAGCTTCTAATTAATCTTTTTAAAGTTAAATCCCTAAGAAGAAGGAAAGGAGCCCTGGTGGTTAAGTGCTTGGCTGCTGACAGAAAGGTCAGTGGTTTGAATCCACTAGCTGCTCTGTGGAAGAAAAATGTGGCAGTCAGTTTCCATAAAGATTTACAGCCTTGGAAACCCTGTGGAGCAGTTCTACTCTGTCCTATAGGGTCACTATGAGCCAGTATCAACTTGAGGGCAATGAGTTTTTTGGGTTAAGAAGGAACTGACTCAAACTTCAGGAAGTAGCTGTGAAGACAGGGTAGCAGGAAATGACAGCAACCTGAATAACGGAACTGAAGCAGCAGCTCAGAAGTTCTTTATCTGAGTGGCAGCAGCCAGAGAGGGAGCCAGGCGTCGTCGTGAGGAGCTGGGATTCTGAGAGCCAGACACACGATTGGAGGTGGGTGCGCTGAGCAGTGGGGGGAGTTGGAGAGCAAGAGAGGAAGTAAAAGGAATCTACCTGTCTTTTAGTCCCTTGTGAGGGTGAGGGATGCAGTTATTAGCCTTTTTAAACTTTTATGGCCAGGAAGGCAGGGTGTAAGAGGTTGTGGGAAATGAGCATCTGGGGATGGAAACAGAGGAAGGGCTGGAGCCCAGGGGAGCAGGATTCAGCAGCCAATCAAGACCCTAGACCACCACGCAAAGTGTTGCCTGGTCTCTGTTGACCATCTCCAGCCTTCTGAGGCCTGCTGCTCCTAGACACTGGATTGCGAGGAGGACCACAGGAGATAAAGATGAGTCTGCCTTTGAAGAGCGTATGGTCTAGCCAGGGAGGCAAAACCCACATAGGAAATGGTGTAACTGATCAGGAAGTACTAGCTAATGTAGACTAGTGCTGAGACCCAAAGTGAAGTCGTGCGTGATGGTTCAGCTGGACTAGTTTCTGTGATTGCAGGATCACAGAATCCCAGAATGTCAGAAATGGAAGGGACTTTATAGGTTAGCTAAGTTGACCCCTTCATTTAATTTTCCATTGGGAAAACTGAGAATCAATAATTATTCAGTGATTTGCCAAATTATTTGAGTTAATGTTTGTAAATTGCCTAGACTGGTGCCTGGCACATAAGAACATACTTTACGTCATTCTCTTACCTGTGTTTCCTCAAGGGTGATCACCAGGTCTTTTGACTCCCAGTCCATGTATTATACTGATGCTCTAAGTCAGTCTCGTGCTGATGCCCTTGACTGTGCCTAAGATCCCTGCCCAACCACATTCCTCTTCAGTCTCCCATCTCTAGAGAGAACTTCTTGGCTTCCCTATTTCTGGCCAGTAGGTCAAGGACACCACGCTGTCTCTATGTCAGAAACTCTTCTCTTTATTTCAAGAATGGAAAAAAAATGGGAGATTTCTGGGAGAGTCGGGCTGATGCCTCAGAGGAATAGGAGGACAGACGACAGGACTGTAGGTCCTCATTGCTTCCTTATTGCACACAAATATTTCAGAAACTTCTCTTTTCTAGTTTTCTGTATTGCCCTGTTGCTACAGCACAGTCCAGGAGCCAGAGCGTGAGAAACAGACAGGGATGCAAGGATGCAGGATCAGAGGTCCCATCTGTCTGCCCCTGTCCATAACCGTCACCCTGGCAGGGGAGGCAGAGCTGCTGTCTGCAGTGACTCAACTCACAGTCAGGTGCCTCAGTCAACACTTCTCCAGTGTCCTCTCAGCACCTCCTTTTCCCACTTTGCACCCAAACCCCTGTAGATGGAGTTTCCAAGGGGCTGGTTGTTCAAAGAGTGTGGAGTGGAGAAAGGTGGAGTTTTCAAGAGGAAATAGAAAACTAGAAAGGAGAATCTGAGGGCCTACGTGACCAGACAGGAAAGCGTTTGTAAAAGGGACTCCCTTGAGAGAAAATGAAGAGCATGGGGGAAGGTCTGGAGAGTAGGATGAGATGGCAGGGCAGGGAAAGATGGGCTGGAAAGTTTTCAGCTAGCAACTGGTGCCAGGGTCCAGAGGTCTCCGTGGAGTGGGTGAGCATTGTCCGCTGTCACCTCTTTACAACAAGGTCCGAGACCCACAGATGCAGAGCAGCTGTGCAGCCCCCACTCCTGCGCCCCCAGCAGCTGACCTGGAGACGCCCCACAGAGGAAGGATTTGGCCCCCCTTTCAGCGAGTGTTCTCAACGTATTTCTTTTGCATTTATTTAGTTAATACAAGTTGAATACCTCTTATGTTCAAAATATGGATTTTTATATGTTGTATTTTGAACCAGTTGTCTTCTTTAGAAGTAAATTGGAACTGTTTTTAAAAATTGTAAAGAAATGACTTTCCCCCAGTGAATGGTGCTTCCCCATGCATTGTTCAGGGTCCCTATGACCTCAAGCAGATGTCCACAGGTGGTCTCAGAGAGGAGGTGGGATGGTACTTGGACTGGATGTCAGAAAAATTCTCAATAGAGTTAAGTGGATTGTTAAGAGGAGTATAGATGCTGTTCACTTCAGCAGGAACTGGACCAATTTCTATTTTGACCACTATAAAAGGAATCATCTGTAGAAACCTGTGCTCTCTGTGCCCAGCACCCTCCATGATCTTGGCTCCCCACCCTTCCTCCTTCTTACAGATGTCATTCTGTCATTGAATACCACCCCAAGCTGCTGCCTGGCTGGTCTCTGGACACAGGCAGACAATCCCAGGTTTGATACGCAGCTTATTTAGCACTACCTACACCCAAGATGACTTCTCTCCAGACTCAGTTTCTCTTAATTAAACCCTCCCCCCATCAAACTGGGCAGAAAGTGCTTTTTTATTGTAAAAATAGAAGTAACAACATTTGCCAGTTCAACGTTTGTCACTTGCATGATTCAATGAAACAAATTACATCAATTATGTTGTGCAACCATCACCAACATCCACTGCCATATTTTCTGTTCCCATAAGCAGAGACTCAATGTTAACTCTTTAAAATGTTAAAAAGCAAAGATGTCACTTTAAGGACTAAGGTGTGCCTGACCCAAGCCATGGTGTTTTCAATCACCTCATATGCATGTGAAAGCTGAACAATGAATAAGGAAGACCAAAGAAGAATTGATGCCTTTGAATTATGGTGTTGGTGAAGAATATACCATGGACTGCCAGAACAAACAAATCTGTCTTGAAAGAAGTAAAGCCAGAATGCTCATTAGAAGCAAGAATGGTGAAAGTTTGTCTCACATACTTTGGACATGTTATCAGGAGGACCAGTCCCTGGAGAGGAGCATCATACTTGGTAAAGCAGAGGTCAGCGAACAAGAGGAAGACCCTCAACAAGACGGACTGACACAGTGGCTATAACAAAACATTGGGCTCAAGCATAACAACGATTGTGAGGAGGGCACAGGACCGGGCAGTGTTTCGTTCTGTTGTACGTACGGTCACTATGAGTTGGAATTGACTCGATGGCACCTAACAGCAACAACAATGACAATGCTAGCTAAACAAAGATCCTCTTCTTTCCCCTTTCCTCTCATTCCTGGTAACCACTGTTAAACTCTGATCCTATACATTTGCCTATTCTGTTTTATATTAGTGAGATCAACAATATTTTTCTTTTTGTGATTGACTTATTTCACTCAACATGTTTTCAAGGTTTAAAACTCCCACCTGCTTTGCTTCAGCTTCTATTCTCTTCCAAAAAAAAAAAAAAAAAATGGCAAGAAACACTGAGGCCCTTTTATTACAGGCTTCAGCCTTCTTTTTTTCTCTATCCTTGATGCTTTTTTGTCCTACTTATTCCTGTCTCCTGTCCCCCTCAGATGTGGAAGTCTGTAGTGGGGCATGATGTATCTGTTTCCGTGGAGACCCAGGGGGATGACTGGGACACCGACCCTGACTTTGTGGTGAGTTTGGAAGTAGCTTTGCTCAGAGAATTAAGGGGGGGGGGGCATCTGGGCTGCTCTGTGACCTCCAAGGGGCTTGGAAAAGGACAGTCTGGGACTGATACAGCTCTCAATGTGGGATTACTGGTAGGACAGTCTGCTGTCATGAGTGGAGCATTCATGATAGCTGGTGTCGAGGATGGAAGGAGACAGGAGCGGACGGGCTGGACAGTGTGATTGCAAGGCTATGACAGGCTATGCTGAAGTGAGAAGCAGGTTAATACAGGTCGCCTTTGGCTTCTGATCCAGGATTTGGGCTGTACATGTGTGATTTGGGGGCACTGATAAGTTATAGGAGGCCTGGAGGGAAAAGTATGAGGGATACAGAGCAGGAAGGAAGATTTCTCAGTTTACCAGCTTAATTTTAACATAGGATCAGAGTGGAGCCTGAATAATGACCCAGCCTGAAGGAGACAGTTGATGCAGGGGACGTGAAATACATGTGTGTCATCAGCTGTGTGGCCCCTGGCATGGCACACCTCTTCCCATCACTTACTGCTAAGTGCTGTCTTTTGCAGAATGACATCTCTGAGAAGGAGCAACGGTGGGGAGCCAAGACCGTCGAAGGTTCTGGGCGCACAGAACACATCGAGTAGGTGCCAAGACAACTGGGAAGAGGGAAAGGGGGTGTGAAGGAAGAGCCCAGGGGAAATTCAGAGACTCAGGGAAGGGTGGAAGAAAGGAAAAAGAGAAGATAGCTCATGTCTATGTGTCTTTGTGTTTTTTCTTGAATCTGTCCCTGTGTGTCCCTGCACGTGTCGTTGTGTGTTTCTCTTCTCATCCTCTTATCCCCCCAACCTATTATCTGTCTTTTGTTTCTAGAAGCTCTGCTATTTCCCCAAGTGGGTCTATTATATTAACCACCTTTCTTCCTTCATTAGTACATGGCACAATTCAGAAAGGAAATGACTCGTGTGCTGAGGTTCTCTCTCTCTCTGTCTATCTACATAAATATAAATATGTGTCTAGGGTATAGAGTGACTTCACATGGGCTAAGGTGGATTTGGAGCTCTGGTGGCATAGTGGTTAAGAGCTTGGCTGCTGTCCAAAAGGTCGACAGTTCGAATCTACCAGCTGCTTCTTGGAAACCCTATGGTGCAGTTCTACTCTGTCCTATAGGGTCACTATGAGTCAGCTGACTCGACTCCAACTTTTTTTTTTTTTTTTAAGGTGGATTCAGTAAAATGTCAAGGTGAAGAACTCAGCATAAATACTGTAAACAGAGGGCAACATCAGGTCTCCTACATGACCTGAATGACTTTTAAATGCAAACTTTTACTTGGATACTTCAAAGATGTTGAAAGCCATAAATGGTAATACTGAGGAAATGAGACACTTGGATATTCTAGTCACTAAAGCTATTATAGTAATGAGGTTTTAGGGATTTTAAAGATTATAATCAAATTTGCATTTTACCAGCAAAAAAGAAAAGAAAATCTTGATACCAAAAGAGAGAAGAAACTTACTCGTAGACATATCCAGCAGTTTCTCTGGAATAGATCTTACATTTGGATTCAGATACCATCCTGTCTTTAATGGATTACCTGGGATCATCTAACCTGGGCTGTCTGCTTTGGGTAGTATTAGAATATTAAAAAGTTGTAAGGTAGACACAAGAAACAGGATAACAAGAGAAAAATGAAACGTTAAACAACTATACGCTAATCGACAGAATTCATAGTTTTTAGCTCCAGTTTAACTTTTGTCCCCATATTCCAACAGCAGTGTTTTCCCCGTGATTTTAAAAAGTGTCAGTGAATGACCACACTGTATAAGAACACACTGGAAACTTGGCATGTGTTTACATAATTTGATAATATTTAGTACTATGCATTGTTGTTACTTAATCAGACATAATGGTTCATCTTACTAAGTAGCTGTAAAGAATATTATTCTTCACCAAGCCAAGTGATTCTGGAAGCAGTTGGTGAGATGAAAAAATGAAACAGGGTCATGCCAGAGGCTTCCTGATGTTCCTCTGAAGGCTCATAGACCCAAAAAACTCAAGACTGCTTTCCTCTTCTGAGTAAAGGCTGCCCAGCCCTAGTATCCTGGGAACTGTTATGATGAGGCTACCAGGAAAAAACCAAAACCAGTTGGTACCCCACATGCGTCAGAGTAGAACTGTACTTCATAGAGTTTTCAATGGCTGACTTTTCGGGAGTAGATCTCTTCTGAGGCACCTCTAGGTGGACTCGAACCACCAACATTTTAGTTAGCAGCTGAGCTCCACCCAGGGACTCCAAGAGGAGGCTACAAGCTCTTCTTTTACATTTTCCCTCCCAGTACCTGTCTCATACACAATGGGAGTAGAGCATTTTAAGGAAGACTTCTGAATCCCTGTCAAGACTCCTGTCATCTGATGGAAGGGGCTTGAGTTTGGGTATCAGATAGATTTAGAGTCATTTACCAGCCCTGCCACTACTAGCTTTGTGACCTTAGACACATAACCTCTCTGAACCTCAGCTCCTTCATTATCAAATGGGGGTAATAATAGCTACCCTGCAGGTTTAGTATTAGAATTCAATGAGACTTCATATGTTAATGTTTAGTGCCATACTTAGCACTTGCTATCAGTTGAGTATTATTATTTTTCTTCCCTGTTAATATAGATTGGTTTAATCTGACTTCCTTCCTAAAAACCTAACAAACATGAGACAGATGACAGTCTCTCCCCCACCCCCTACTAGGGGTGTTGACCAGGGTGCTGTGCTGCGCAGCTCCAGTCCATAGATTCCTCTGACAGGTTGGTGGCCCTTGGGTTGTACAATGTGGTGGCCCTGGATGTTTCGTTGTTAACCTAACTGGATCTCTATCTGGTAGAATAAATGATGGAGATATTTACACAAAAAGCCCTCTCTTCTCATTTAGCCAGTCTGCCAAAGTGTAAGAGCCAGTCTCTGCCAGTAACTTAGCCAAGTGACCTTGGGCAAGTCACTTTTCCTCTGGTTCTGTGTTCCCATCTGGATCAAAAAGATCCCCAGAGGACTTTCCAGTATTAAGTCTCTAATTTTCTGAGATTCTCTCTGGTAGCCCATCTTGAAGGTCAAACGGGACTCACTGAGGTCTTTGGAGGGGAGGGGAAGTTGGAGAGAAGAACAGTAGCTGCAGAGCTGAGATGACTCGAAGCAGGAAAAGGAAGTGACTGTGGTTCTCTGGTCTTGAATAAATTTAGCTTGGGGAGTGGTTTGGTGATGCGATGAGCAGCTCAAATGAGTTTCTCCAGCCCTGGTATGTTGGATATAGGAGACCTGGGCCAGGTGGCGCCAAGCAGCCTAGTGTTTCCTGGGAACTACCTGGTATTCAAGGGCTGTTGCTCTTCCCTCTGTTGTCTTCGCACCACTCTTGCACACTCATTCTCTTTGGCGCTGGGCTTTTCCCTTGACCAGTTAAGGATCCTTATTACTCCAGGACAGTATGTCTCAAACTCTCTATGGTAAAGGATCAAAGGACCAGGTTATTGTTGTTGTTTGAAATCTGTCACAGACTGATACTTTTGCAAACTAGAATAAAATTGAATTGCTGGAAAAATGGATTGAAAAAAAAAAAGACACAGAAAGCACAAGCACAGTTTTTAATTTAGATTCAGTAGACAAAATTACTATGTCAAATTGCTACAGAAATTTCTAAATGCTTACTCCCAATTTTTGTTCTTATTTCACTGTGGAACAGAAATAGGTTTGTGGACCACACTTTGAGAAGCACTGCTCTGGAAGAGTAATTTTTCAGTACTTCCTGAAACCCATCTGGCCTTTAGGTTAGCTCCTTAACTGAGCTACAACCACAGGATATCTGCTCAGTGGCCCTGTCAAGTGGAAATGAAAAATGGTGTAGTGTCAAGCGTATTGAAACAGAAATCTTGAGGTCTGGAGACCAGCCCCAGACCTGCTATAAAAGGGCTCAGAGTGCTGAAGGGAATGATTTTACCACTCTGTCTCTATTCCCCAGTGGTGACTGGAGATAATGGTACCAACTTTGTTTACCTCACAGAGTACTTACTCTGAAGACCTAAGTATATAACATAAGAATAATAGCTAACATTTATTGAGCTCTTATTACGTGTCATATAAAATGCTAAGTGCTTTGCACTGTCACCTTTAATCTTCAAAACAACCCTATATCATAGATGATGCTGATTTTACAGAAAAGCTAGCAGATGCATTGATGTTCAGCAAATAGTAATTTGAATTCAGTTCAGTATGACTGCATAGGCTGGACTCTTGACCACTCTGTCATATTTCTTCTGTATCTAATAAATATAATATTGTTTGTATGTCCACAATTCTGTTGTTGAAATGGAATGCAAATTCCCATGAGATAAGCTATTGCCTTTCCTTAAGGCTGCTCTTCTATTTAGAATGACTTTAAGTGCATTATAAACAAAAACACAAAACCCGTTGCATCGATTCCAACTCATAGAGACCCTATAGGACAGAGTAGAACTGCCCATTGGGTTTCCAAGGAGCGGCTGGTGGATTCAAACTGCTTTCCTTTTGTTTAGCAGCCATAGCTCTTAACCACTGTGCCACCAGGGCTCCAAGCGCCTTATAGATTGATCTTAATAATACACTACCATCACACTCATAAGCACGGAACTCTATAGAAGTGCCCCAAAATCTATCTTTCATTTAATGCTTTCTTCTCTTTTTTTATGGTTAAGAAACAACTTTATTGATGTATAATCATTTTTGGTGAATAATTCAACGAGTTTTGACAAATATATACACCCACGTAGCCACTAGCACAATCAAGATATTGAATATTTCCATGACCACAAAAAGTTCCCTTGTGCCTCCCTGCAGTCAATACCTGTCATCTCCACCCATGGCTGATCTCCTTTTTGTCCGTACAGATGGGTTTTACCTGTCCTAGAATTTTATGTATTGGAATAATACAGAATGTACTCTTATGTCTGGCTTCTTTCACTCAGCGTAATGTTTTGAAATCTACCCTTGGTGTTGTGTGTATCAGTCTTTTGTCCCTTTTTATTGTTAAGTAGTATCCCATTGTATGGATATAGCACAGTTTGGTTTATTTATTACCCTGTTAATGCACATTTGGGTTGTTTATAGTTTGGGGCTATTACAAATAAAGCTTTACGAACATTTGTATAGAAATCTTTTTGTTAATATATATTTTTATTTTTATTGGGAAATAACATAGGAGTGGAATTTCTGGGTCATATATTGTAGTTGTTAGGTGCCGTCAAGTTGTTTTTGACTCATAGCAATCCTATGTACAACAGAACGAAACACTGTCCTGTCCTATGCCATCCTCACAAGGATGCTTGAGCACAAGGATGCTTGTTATGCTTGAGCCCATATTTGCTGCCACTGTGTCAATCCATCTCATTGAGGGTCTTCCTCTTTTTCGCTGACCCTCTACTTTACCAAGCATGATGTCCTTCTCCAGGGACTGATCCCTCCTG